AATTCTTTTACCAGTTCTTTCAGTAAGGGTGTGTGGTTGGTGGGTGTTAGTTTTCATCTGTATTTTTGTCCTTCAAATAGTGTGTATAAAATTCTGGGTTACTTTCCCTCAGGTCTTTGGAATATTATTCTTTCTTGATTTGGCTTTTCTTGTTTGAAGCATTCATAAAATTTAAGATTTATTTTAAATCACAATTTATTTCACTAAATATCTGTCAAAGGTATCTGTCAAAGTAAGGTTTATTTTAAAAGTTTTTCATTGAGACTCAGAATGTGCTATTGATCTAAAGACTGACGTCTTCTTTTTAGTTCTGGAAATATCTCCGTTTTATTCTTTCAAATAGTGCTTCTCCACCCTTCCACTATCTTCTTCTAGAACTCCCACAAGACTTTTTGTTGGAGCCGCTCTATTTCTCCTCCAGGTTTCTTGAGTGCTCTTTCATGCTTAAGTCTTTTTGGCTTCTTGTGTTGCATGTAGTGATTTCATCACGACTGTCTTCCAGTTCTCACACACTCTCTTCTGCAGTATCCAGTTTAGCAATTTAAACTTTATCCCATTCATCTTTTTTTTCAATGACTACAATTTTCAAGATTTCTTCTTTTCGCAGAGTTGGACCTAGTAAGGCTTTCCATGGAGTGCAACATGTAATTATATCACATGTAATGGAATGTCACATCTTTACCATGTGACAGAAACACAGGAAGATGTCAAAGGATGACAAGATGACCACTCAGTCTGAAACAGCAAGCAAAGCTGAATGTATCTTATTATAGTGGGAAAATTCTGCTGGGCAGGCACATTGCCTCTGGGCACAGTGGACTGTGGTTCTTACAGAGGTCAGGGATTGGTCAAGCATATTTTCACTTGGAAGTGGGTTAACATCATTGCAGAAGCACAGACTTATTGGACTGTCACATCTACTAGAAACTAAGGCATTTGAGGCTGTGGGGCCGAGTATAGCCCAGTGGGGAAATGGGACAACCCCACCAGTTAAAGTTAAAGATATTGTCGGAGTATCCTGTTTGGGAATAATTCCTGCTTCAGGCCTTTGATGGAGAGCCAGGCTCAGAATTACAGAATCAAAGAAGCTAAAAACGGTTGATTCCAGAGGCAACTGCCACTCAGCCCTGGCCATCTCCCCAACTGAGTCACCTGTGGAGTATCCTGTTTGGGAATAATTCCTGCTTCAGGCCTTTGATGGAGAGCCAGGCTCAGAATCACAGAATCAAAGAAGCTAAAAACGGTTGATTCCAGAGGCAACTGCCACTCAGCCCTGGCCATCTCCCCAACTGAGTCACCTGTTTCCTGCAGGTATCCAGCTTTCTGGGATGACAACAGACACTATTTCTGGACTTACTGGAATCTTCTGGCCATCTGCCTGGCCTTCATCATCGTGTTTGAGGTAGCTGAGGCACCTGCCACTTCCTCTCTTGGCCTCTCCTACTGGCACCCTCGTCCTTGGCATGATGCCTGTCACCCTGTGCTTTGCCTAATCCCAGCATGTGGTGCAGGAGAACTCATTGAGACCCCAGGACTTCCAGATTTGTTATGTTGGTCAAATCAGAGTTTTTCTCTGCACCATTATTTCCTCTGCTGGCCTTATCCCTGGGTTGTGGAGTGGACATCACAGTGCTTTGAGCACTGTACTCCAGGGGAGCTCCAGAGGGCCCTGCAAACCACGGTTGGTCTCCACAGCTGTGGTTTCTGTCCCTTCAAGGAGTTTCCTTTCCTGCACAGCTTCTCCCTAGCTCCAGCCACACTGGGGAGCAGGTGCTAGAGCCCAGGCCCATCTGGCCCTGTAAAAGCCATTCTGGGCATTTGTTTTTCCAAGGGGTGGGGGTAGGGTACCTTTTCCTTGTCCCAGTGTGTGGTATTCTCCACCAGCTGGGTCCTTGACCTCCTGGTACCCGACATACCGGAGTCTGTGGAGACCAAAGTGAAGCGGGAATACTACCTGGCGAAGCAGGCCCTAGCCGAGAATGAGGTGAGCCCCCGCCCAGCCTCTGTGGACGCCTCAGCCCTGCGCCCCGCCCTCCGGGTCACCTTACTAAGAGCCACCCCCCAGCCCTGTGGCTCTCTCCTGCCACATGTGAGACTGAAGAGCCTTCTCAGTTACTGTTATTTCTCAAGTCACAGGCTAATCACATACTCTCCTCTTCCTCCCACCCTCTCCTGGAGACAGGTTCTCTTTGGAACAAATGGAGCCAAGGTTGACCAGCCCCATGGCTCAGAGACGGGTTGGGCCCACAAGCCTAAGATTCCAGGAGCCAACCTGGCCTCCCCGTCATCCTGCTCCCCATTCTTCCCTTCCGAAGTCAAGAGGTCAGCCAGTGGTCATCAGCTGAGGCCTGGAACCTAGCCAGCATGGAGGAGACTGTTGAAGGTACACCCAGAGCCAGCTCACCGTGTGCCATCAGAGGCTATGGCCTGGCTCAGCTCAACTCGTCCCCACCTTGGCTCAGAGTACTGCTGCTGCGGCCCCTGGCTGGCCTGGGCCTCTGCCCATGCATCCTGCCTCCCGAGTCCTGGCTGCCGCCCCCACTTGACACCTCTCAGCATCCCTAAGGCCAGCCAACTGGAGCAGGATGCCTGGAGGACATCTGTGGCCTCTGGGGAAGCTATCTCCTGCTGGACCCCTCCCAAGCCCCATGAGCCAGTATCCTCTCTCTTTGCACTACAAGGCAGAATGGATCTGAAATTCTGGCTTCCAGACCCTGCCTCTGTACTCAGAGTGCCTGTCCTTTCCAGACCTCAGTCCCTGGACTTCCATCCCCCAGCAGGGAGGGGCCCTCTTTGTTCCTGCCCCTAAACCTAAGCCCCAGGGGCCCCTGCACACCCCTCACCCCCGACCCCATCCCTCCCTGGCCAGGAGGTGGCCTCCACCCTCCCCATTGGCCTGACATCCTCTTGTGTGTCCCTCCAGACCCACTCCTACCTCTTCCTGTCCTGTCCAAGCAGTGGCCCTCCATCCCCGCATGCCCACACCCCCCAGCTCTCACCCCTCACCCTGTCGCAGACCACAGCAGGGAAGTCGTTCACCCTCTCCATTCCATCTTATACTTCGAAAATCTCGCCCACTCTTTCTATCCTAGCCACCATTAACAGCCTCTGACAGTGTCCCTTCAACTTCCTCCTGCGGCAGCCAGACTAAACGATCTGCATCCCCCTGCTGTTTCTGAAGTTCCCTCCTGGGCCGCACACCTTCAGCAGTGGGGCTAAGTCTCTCCAGCTGTCCTCACTGCTGGGCTAGGGCTGCCCCTGTGCCCTTCACCCGTTCCCTGGGGCTTCGTACACAGCAAGCACCCAAATAGGAAAGGTTTTGGAATGAGATTTCATTTCTTCCCCTTACTAATAAGTGAAAGCAGACACCTTGGGAGGAAAGCGTATTCCTGCAACATTCAGCAATCTCTTTCCAGAAGTCCTTCTGTATGTTTATACGTGACCGTCTTCCAGCTTGGGTCATACCAGGACACGCGGTTCTGACCTTGTCTCTGACTTTCCCTGGGCTCGTCTTCTCCCATGAACTCGGCTGGCGGCGTGCTGCTCTGCCACGTGTCTCCTCACATGGTGCCCACTTACTGTCGGGAGGCAGGTCCTCTTACGCCACCGTTATGGACTATGCTGCAATAAACATCCCTGAACACACTGTGCTCACCTTTACTCATCTCCTTATGGTATAATCCTAGAAGTAGAACTGAAGTGTCAAAGAGGATATGCAGTTTTTGAGATGCTTTGATGCATACCACCAAAATCTCTCCCCAGAAAAAGCCTCTTTCTAAACGTCCTCGGCGACACCTGGCCTCAGCAGTGCTTGTTTTTGGCGTTTCTTTCACAGGGAGTGGTTGAGCACTAAGGTTGCTGCACGGCCACTGGCATTTTTTAGATTTGCCACTTGTTCACCCGCCTTTTACAAAGAGCGCCAGCCATCCTTCACCTTTGTCTAAGGGGTCTTGTAGCACGGCCGAGGGGCCCATGGGGGCGGCAGAGCCGATGGCATCTGTGGGGGCCACCATCTACTGCACACACCTGCCGGTGGCGTGACCCTCACCAGTAAACACCAGCGAGAGCTCAGCCAACTCAACAAGTTCGTCCACTAGGTAGACCAAGCCCTGATCACCAGGGCCCCGAAGCATGCGCATGCCCCTCCCCATGACCCTTTCCCACCCAGAGTAGCCACCACTTCAGTCACTGAGTCAGGGATGGGACCATGGAACCCCAGAGCCTGACATCATCTCACTGGACACCTCGGCTGAGCTTCACCCCAGGGGTGGTGTGACTGGCTCATGCTGGCTGCTGCGTTGTTTTATTTTGGCTTGGGGTCATTTTGTACATGTGTGCCTTTCCATAGGGTGCATTTTTAGGAGTGGAACTGCTGGGTCATTGGGTAAACATGTTTGGCTTTAAGGAACTGTGAAACCATTTTCCAAGGTGGGGAGCAGCCCACTCCCACAGCAGCAGATGCCAGCTCCCTTGTCTCTCCATGGCACCCTTCACCATGTGGATGACTGGTGGTTCCTCCCACTCAACACCCCCCCCGTCCCTCCTCCACCAGCTGAGGCTCTGCCTGACACCTCCCCTCCTCGCACCACGACCGTGAGCTAGGACATGCCCCAGTGCCCAGCATCTGCCTGGGTGCTGGGAGCCTTTCCTGGGTTGCCACCAAGGTTTGCTGAGGGAAATAATTCACACGGAATCCTGAGCTACAGGAAGCAGGTTTTATGTGAGAACTACGCTGCTCCGTAAGTAGAGCTGTCTACCTTCAGCAGTGACAGAACTGCAGGGCAGCCACTGACTAGGCAGTGGCCCGAGTACAGGCACAAGTAGCCAGACCCCCAACCATGACCACTGCTGGCTCCAGAGGGGTTGTTAACACAGCGATGAGAATAGCTGGGAGAATCACACCAAAGACTAGAACTATCCACGGATTTCCAGTTACCACTCAAGAGAGCCGAAGCAATGAGAACACACATGTGGCGTGACAAAAAGGCCCAAATGCTACGTCTGGTTCCGGGCTTTATTTTAGAATTTATAAAATTCCAGTGTCATCCATATTCATGAGCCTTTACACATGTTTGCATATAATCTCCAAATTCCAAAGTTAAGGCCAAGGGATGGATCACAGCTATGGAAATATGAAATGGAAGACATTTAACAAGGAGGAAAAGGATAGGCACCCCATCTCTGCCCAGGGCTCTCCCGAGCACCTGAGGCTGCAGGGAGCTGGGCCTGGGCACAGTCACTTCATAATAACCAAAAAAAGGCGGAGCAAGTGAGACCCCTGAACCGTTCAGGAAAGGGCTTGAATCCAGACATTTAGCAGTAACTGAAGATGCGCAAAAATCCGTTGTGAGAATTTAAAATTTGCCTTTGGGGAAGGGTAGAGGTCAGATGTTGTAGAAGAACGTTGTAAAAAAGACAAAGGGAAGAGGAACAGGTTGGGACAGGTACTAGAGGGAGCTTGAAAAACGGGAAGTGAAGCAAGTCAGTCACAGGAAGAAGTTCCAGAACTCACTCAGATGGAAGAGAGGTGACAGGCCTTCCCCGGCTAAGGCCCCGGAGACAGAGGAGACAGCTCCCGGGGAAAGGCAAGAAAGCACCTTGCCTTCTTGCTCTGTTTCCATTAATTCCACCGAATTCAGGGTCACTTAGCCTGTTAAGCAGAGTGTTCTTTCCTATCCCAATTTATCACTCCCATAAATGGGCACATTTAGGGATGCTCGAGCTAATGGGAACTTGCCAAGGCAACTGAAGTTAGACTTGGGTTAAGCAATTCTCAATCTAATCAGGAATTTCAGTCTAAAGATGACTAAGTTTGAGTTATTAAACTTAGTGAAAAACTTTTGGGGTGGGGTGTCAAACCAGAATTGACTGTCCCCAGGAAAGGGCTGTGAGATGGGCACAAGTTGGCTTTTCTAGGAACTCCAGTATCTGGGACAGGACAACTCGCTAGTGTCTCAGTCACTTGCACAGTGGACACAGGCAGGGATGGGAAGACCAGATGACCCAGAGATAAAAGACCCTGTCCTTGGTCCTCACAACACAACAGAGGTGCCTCTGTGTGAGACCATCTTTCCTCCTGAGGGTGGACCTTCAACCCAGATGGCTGGAGGGCACCGGATTGTGCCAAGGCCAGTGGTCCTACACTGAGAATCACCTGCCGCACACCTGAGGAAGGACAGACCCTCCCTGAGCCTGCAGAGGCTCCCAGCTCGCAGCTGTCTGGTCCTACACTCAGGATCACCTGCCGCACACCTGAGGAAGGACAGACCCTCCCTGAGCCTGCAGAGGCTCCCAGCTTGCAGCTGTCTGGTCCTACACTCAGGATCACCTGCCGCACACCTGAGGAAGGACAGACCCTCCCTGAGCCTGCAGAGGCTCTCAGCTCCCAGCTGTTTGGTTCTGCCCTCATTCTGCTTCACTTCTTGGTCCAGGCCAAGTGACAGCTTCTCTCTACCCCAGGATCAGGAAACCTGCCTCTCAAGGCCAACAGCCTGGGACCAACGTTCCTTGGGGCCTGCACACAGAACCTGAGCATGCCTGTCAGAGGCTTGCAAAACCAGGATGGCCTGGGGGGGATGGGAGTGTGCACTCCCTGCTCTAGACCCCCAGCTGGCCACTGAACCACCTGTGGGCTTGGGAGGGCACCAGCCTCAAGCCTCGACACACAGCATCCGCCCCCAACTCCGCAGCAAACCTACAACCACCAGAAACACCTGAATTGAGAAACAAGCACTGGGGGTGGCACTAGCCTACGCATGACACCACTACCACACTGGCTGAGGTAGAAAGAAGGCAACTGAACACACGGTGTCTGGGGGAGGGGTGGGCATGGGGAGCTGAGGGTGGTGTGAAAACGAAAGCCGAACTGTCACCAAAATGCTAGTATCTCCACCTCCGTCCCCCTCCCTGTGAGGATCTTAGGTCACACCAAGCCACTAAGATGGCCATGGGGACCCAGATGACACATGCACCTGCAGCCTTGTCCACAGGCTCCACTCACCAGACCTCAGGGCTGAGGGCGAGGGGTAGGGGCGGATACCTTTGGTGCTTTCAGACCCCAAAGCAAGTAAAACCAAGTGATCCTCTACCCTTTTAGTCCCTTCTGGCTCCAGGACACCTGACTGAGGCTAGGCCTTCCCCCGACCCTGTCATCTGTGCTAAGCAGACTTTTTGGCATCTGGAGGAGGCTGATTGCACTCTACAAAAAGGAAGGTCTGGACAACAGGCAATGGGCAGGAGGGAGGTGGGAAAGGAAGAGGGCAAACATTTTGGCTTTTATAAAGTCAAGGAAATTTATTTCCTGAGGTCATGACACAGGAAGTCGACTCCTAGCCACAGCTGTGGAGCTCCGGAGCTCCCGTAATGAAGGTCAGAGTGCTGACATGCTGGGTGGACCAGGAAGCTGGAGTCTGTGTTATCTTATCACGAAATGCTCAATTACCTTTGTTTAGTGTTTAAAACAGTGGAGGGCCTGTCCCAGAGCAAGTCAGGGAGCAGATCCTGAGCAGGTGCTGGGTGCCGACCAGGCCCAAAGCAGCAGCCACACACGTAGCCGGCCGCACCAGGCTTCACTGCGAGACCTCGGGAAGGGGGAGAGCGTCAACAATTTACGAAGGTCCAGCCACTGGGTCAGATTGAGACAAACCATTGTGTGGTCAGGATCAGGTCAGCAGGCTGGAGAGGTTTCTGCTTTTTGATCATTATCGTTTGGGGCCCCAAGGGAGGGTCTTGGGGGCCACCTGAGCCCCAAAACTGGGAAATTCCTCCGAACTGCTCATATCAGGAGCCTGTGGAGAGAGAGAACATGGCTTCAGTAGGGGCCACTCTTCCTACTCTCAAGCACTAGGCACTCCCCACCCTCCCCAGGGCCTGCCAAGGGCAGGCAGAAGAGACAACCTCTGACCTTCTCGCTGCTGTTGGCAGTCCAGGGAGCATCCCTCACCACAAAGCCTCTGGATGGTGCCTTGGACTCCTCGTGAGCTGGGGGCTTCATGTAAACCTGCAGTGCCTCACTGTCCACCACATCGGCCAGCTGCAGGGCAGGAGGTGAAGGGGAAGAAGAGAGGGAGTCAGTCTGCGGCCCAGGTCTGTCTGCTGAGCACTCTCTTAGCATCCCTTGGGGAGGCACTTGCCCACCCGTCACCCCTGCCCCACCTCTGGAAACACACACACGTCACCTCATTGTCACCTCAGGATCACGGCAGGGCCCCAGGCCGGTCAGAACCAGGATGCCCCAGAGTACAGCCTGGGCTGCGTCGGGGGCCTGGGCCTCCCCAAAGGCCTTGCCCACCCAGGACTCACATATTCCTCCTCCAGGTTGAGGATGTGGTCGATGGCTTCCTCCACATTCTCTGGGAGCCCCGTCACAGTGACGCAGTTGGGGTCTGGGGCTCCGCTCTGTGGGAAGCGAATGTCCACCTGGAAGGAGCACTCAACATCAGCTGGGGATCTGAACCCATGGCCTTGGTGTTATCAGCACCACACTCTCCTGAGTGAGCCACGGGCCGGCCCAATTAAGGTTTTTTTTAAAAGATGACCAGTAAGGGGACCTTAACCGTTGGCTTGGTGTTGTCGCTCTCCCAAGTGAGCTAACTGGCCCAATCCCTACATAGGGATCTGAACCCGTGGCCTTGGTGTTATCAGCACCACACTCTCCTGAGTGAGCCACGGGCCGGCCCAATTAAGGTTTTTTTTAAAAGATGACCAGTAAGGGGACCTTAACCGTTGGCTTGGTGTTGTCGCTCTCCCAAGTGAGCTAACTGGCCCAATCCCTACATAGGGATCTGAACCCATGGCCTTGGTGTTATCAGCACCACACTCTCCTGAGTGAGCCACGGGCCGGCCCAATTAAGGTTTTTTTTAAAAGATGACCAGTAAGGGGACCTTAACCGTTGGCTTGGTGTTGTCGCTCTCCCAAGTGAGCTAACTGGCCCAATCCCTACATAGGGATCCGAACCTGTGGCCTTGGTGTTATCAGCACCACACTCTCCTGAGTGAGCCACGGGCCGGCCGCAGTGTCTATCTCTAGTGAAGAGCTGTTACTCTGAGTTAACAAAAATTTAAACATTTGGTTTTGGGGTTGTTCCCTCAATGTTATATCAAGCAAAACCAGTGCATTCAGGAACACCTTGTTCTCAGAAGGCAAACTTGGAAAACTCCCATCTTGCAGACGAGGAGCCCGACAGGTACCTGCTAGAGCCACAGGCCAGCCTTAGTTCCATCAGCTGTACTGAATAACGCTGTCAGGGAGCAGCAGCCCACTGACAGCACGCTAGGGCCCTGGCTTCACATCTCTGAGCTGTGGCACGCTCCCATCTCCCTGTGTGGCCTGTGTGTGTCAGTAGTCTAAGTAGGAAGACTTCAGGTTGCCAGGTGGTCCCTGCTGATGGTAGGGATTCTCATCCCTGTGCTTTCAGCTGGCTTGGGGAGCTCACCTTGAATTCATCCATGATTTTGCGGATCGCCTTGCCACGGGCACCAATGATGCGGGCGTGAACACGGTGGTCTAGTGGGACATCCTCAGAAACCATCTGCTCAAGTTCACCCACAATTTTCAATATAGCGTCCCGGGCAGCCTCTGAGTTCTTTTCGTACCCCGTGATGGTAATTTGGTCCTGGGGCTACAAAAGGAGAATGTAGTCAGAGAAAAGGGGATGCCCCACTGGGATTCCTGACGACAATCGAGCACTGCCCTAGCAGGACTGGTCTGTGAGGAGACAAGACGGCACAGGCACATGAGGGCCTGGGCTGTGGGCTGTGCTGCCGAGCACCTCAGGCCTCACCTTATGGGGAGACACTCATGGGCTTAGAAGAGAAAGAAGGTGAAAACAGCATCAGATGGCTGATTTAAAATGACAGATTAACAATGTCCTGCTCCCGTCCCTTCCCAAACCCCACCAAAAATAAGTTACATCCAGACAATGCCTAACATAGGATTTTTTGACTTTATGATCGTGCAAAAGTGATCCTCATTCTACTCACGATGGGACCACATTTGGGTAAACCCATTGTAAGCTGAAAATATCTTAAGTGGAAGACATTTTTGGGGTGTAACCACAACCTACATTGAGGAGCACCTGTACTGGACTAAGACACCTGCCCACAAAGACAAAGGAGAGGCACTGGCAGGTGGAGCTCTGGACTCAAGGACACGGGGTTGGAGACTGACAAGCTGGCACTCCACCACCCATAGCAAGCCACTCAACTCACACAAGACCCAGCAGCTCAGGCCTCCCTCAGACCGTACAGATAGACCCCACCAGACTCAGATGTGAGCAGAACAGTGACAATTCAGGGCATACAAAAGGTGGTGTGAAAACAAAACGACTGTAACTCACTGTCTCAGGATAGGAGACAACAGCACAGCCCCACTAAGAAAACAGAACACCACACAACAGAAGAGAAAAGCCCCACCTAGGAGAGCAGCAAGAGAAAACCCCAGGAGACAACAGAGCAGCAGCAGCCCGGGGACCTCCTGTCCAGACCGAAGCCAGACAACACACAGTGGAGGCATGGCTTCACCAGGGAATCGGCTCGCCAGAGCCAAGCCACCTCCTGCAGCCAATTGGCAAACAGCCGGCTGGCTGACCTTACCTGGCTCACGGAATATTAGCTGAAACAGTCTAGATGCTAAAGGTGACTTAAAAACTGATGGTTGTACGAGAAAGAAGGGGGAAAGTAGTGGTAGTGAGGAGTTTAAGAGAGCTAAACTTTTAAGATCAGGATAATTAAAAAAAAAAAGAATAGCGGTATCAACATATTCTTCAGAAGAAAAGTTGAAAAGAACGTGCTTGAGGAGGAATGAGCAGCTGGCAGCAGGGAGGAAGCAGGGCCTGCAGGCAGCCCCTCCCAGGCCTGGCTGGTTTTCTGAAACATGTGTGACGCAGCTGGGGTAACATGGAAGGCAAGGCAAGCAGGAGATGGTCGCGGCGGGAGCGACAGGCCTGGTAAGGCCAGAGGCCCTGAGGAACTGGTTCTGGGTGCTCTGCTGGGAAGCCAGAGTGACCACGGCCATGAGGTTTGCTGGGTTCCCTCCATGTGCAAGGCTGTGGTGGCCCACACCCAATGAGCAGGGACAGCCGGAGCCACAGCCGAAGGACAGGAGGTGCCTGAGGGAGGGAGGAAGGGGCTGCCCTGCATGCTGGGTACGCCTAGTGACAGGGACAGGGCTGCCTTTCATCCTACTCCGAGTAAGCGAATAGCAGGAGGTGCTGCTGAAGTTCAGGGAAAATAACACAGGAGTTTACCAGGGACTGTCTGGTGAGCCCAACAGCATTTGCACCTGAGGGCTGCAGAGAAACCAGACTGTGGCTACGTCTCGTCCATCTGCTCCAGGAGCAGGAGCACACTGGAGCATTCTCAGGAAAGTCTGGGCAGCGGGTGGACGAGCTTCCCCTGCAGGTTCAACTGCTCAAGAAGGACCCAGCTGGAGCCCTGGCTTGCCTGCCAGGAGTGGGCACAGGGAAAATACCCTAATCCCCCAGATGAAACATTGTCGAGGAAACCTCACCCAGCCGGCATATGCCAAAACACAGCCCAAACCCGAGGCTGACATCAGACCCTCAGAGGCCTGCCACTTTCAACTCAGCCCTCACCCTCTGTCTGGACATACCGTGAAAGCTTGCCTGGCTAGTGTTTCCAGGTCAAGGCAAAGGTTGACAAAGGCCCATCGTCCCCAAAGTGCTCCAGCCGTGACACTGTGGCCGTGTCACAGGTGTCACTCTTACCTGGTTCCCATCATCCTTATCAGGAAACTGGATGTTCACATCATGCTCCAAGCGGATCTGGGTAATCACTGTCCCTTTTCTTCCAATAATTTTGGGATGGTATTTGGGGTCTACAGTGACACTCAGCTTAAAACTCCTCAGAGCCTACAAATGAAACAAGTGGGAGTGGGAGTGAGGCGGAAAGCGGTGCGCAGTCCCGAGCTGGCTCTGCATGCACCTGTGCCCTGCTGCACCCTAGTCTCCAGAGGCACCAGCTGTCACCTCAGTGACACAAGCAACACACTTCAAGCTTCTGTTCACCTGTAACCCGTACGGTGCAGAGCAGTCAAGTGTCTCTTTGGTGTGACCCACCCACCACCTGCTCACATGGGAACCAAGGACTTGACCGCTCCACAGTGCAGCGCCAGTCCTTCAAAACAGGGTGCTTGGAGAAGTCCCTGATGGTAACAGATGGAGGGTCCGTGCTCCGTAATGAGTTATTTGAGCTTTTGGTCCTACTTTCCTAATTTCTAAAATAGGAATCTGATGAATAAGTATTTAAAAAACGTTGTGAGTCGGGGGGGGGGGGGGTACAGAAACAGGCCAAGGAGGGGGCAATAAAAGTGCCAAGGAGCAGACGGCCCCGATGCCGCGGCCAGAGGCTAGAGCTGCGACCTGTTTAGCCGACAAACCCAAAGCCTGGCACCTGGCACATGCAGTGTGTGCCAGCAGGTTCGTGGGTTCTGCCCCATCATCAGACTCATGTGCTAAATGGAAAAGCAGACAGTTACAATGTCCTTGGTGAAAAGTCAGTTAGCCCCAGCATCATCTGTGTCAAATATCCAGACCCTCCTCCCCCATAAAATCCTTCAAACATCAGCGCTTCCAGAGGCGAGGCGGGGTCTCATCACTACATCACTTGTCGGTCCTGCATTTGTCGACCTGTGCTGGGGGTCAGTGGGGGGCCTCCGACACCCACCTTTACCTTACAAGGTCTGAAGTACACACGTGTTTCTTCCAATTTGGTTTTAAGATTAATTGCAAATTAACAAAGAATTCCGACTTTGTCACTTTAGTATTGGAAAGAGAAAAATACCTTCAGCTCAGGGCACAGCAGCATCTGGACCCCAACTGCACAGAGGCACTACCTGGTCTCACCTCCACCACCTCCACTTAATCCGGACACTGGCATCTCTAAGAATTCCTCTGGATTCTGAAGTGTGCCCAGGGCTGAGAAGCACCACCCTGGAGGAAGCCTCCCAGGACACACCCTGCCTCCGTCTCGCAGGTGGGCAGCCCTGGCCTGGCCCAGTCCTCACCCGGTCCTCCTGCTCAGCCTGCAGCTCCTTCACACGCTCCAGTAGCCCAGCCTTGGCCCGGTCCAAATTTGCAGCAAGGCCCGTGATGGCAATGGTGTCGGACTGCAGCTCAGGTGCTGGGACATGTATATTCACCTGCATGGAGATGCAGCAGACCTGACTGGCCCGGGAAATAACCGCAGGCCCGCGACCCAGAGGGAGGGAGAGTGAAGCCCACTGGCCTTGGAGGGCACAAGGGACATCTGGAAGGGAAGTCAGCGACTGACCAAGCAGAGCAGGAGGAGGCAGAGCCCACGAGAGGCTAAGGGAGGACGCCAGCACTCAGGAGAAGGCCACGGGCACTTCTGTCAGGTGACCGCAGGTATGAGTCCCCACCCCCGATGACATGTCTCCAGAGGAAGGGATCTACCTCAAACTCGTCCATCATCTTGCGGATCCCGCTTCCTTTCTGCCCAATGATGTAACGGTGAAGGTCAAAGGGCACCTCCACTTCGATGGTCACAGGAACCAATGCCTGCAGGAAGATGGTGGTGGTCAGGCCGTGAAAGCGGAGGGCAGAGTGGCCCTGTGGGCTCAGCCACAGGGCTCTGTGGAGCACGAGGGAAATGGCCCTGTGAGCACGACAGTGTGCCTTTTGTCACCTTTCAACAGTGCACCCCAGCTGACAATGCCATCTGGGCATTTCACACAATAGAAAAGAATGGGAGAAGGATCGGGAACCCAGTTTTTAGGTTAACGTTGGCAGAGACTAATTTCAGACCCCACTTTTCCCCAAGCCTACCTGAACTGCAATTCAAGCCCTCGACACCTGCCACCCCCATTACCTTGTCACCTGCTTTTTCCTCCACAGCATCTACTACCATTCAACATATGGTATGTTTCGTTCATCACCTGTCTCTCTACACCACAACGCAAGAACTATTTTGCACACTGTCACCACAGCATTTAAAATAGTACCCAACATGTACACATGGTACCCAACAAGTATTCACTGTACAAATGACTCATCCTTACAAGCCTGAGCTAGACCTGGTTAGCCTCACTTCACAGGGGAAACTGAGGCTGGAGGTCACACTCCCCCAGTGCTGAGACCCTTCCACAGGCCCCACACCTGTGGGCCCAAGAGGCCCATGAAACTGTCCAGGGAAAGGGCTGTGCAGGCCTGAGACCTAATGGAGGAAAGTGGTCTCCAGGCTCTGTGCCCAGCCAAGCTCAGCTGGATGGCCTGTGCTTACACCTTAGAACTAAGGTGACTAGATCCACTGTCTGCCCACCACTCGGGCAGCATCCAGCCGCCATTTAGGCCACGCCCTTCCCTGTGGTGCCTGCTGACAGGCCCGCTTTGGTGACAGAGGGAACCAAACGCACCTCTAGAGCTTCCTTGGCTGCCTCGCACTTTTCTTTCCGGCCGGAGATGATGATGATGTCGCACCTCCTGGGAGAGCCGGGGTCGGCATCTCTGGCATCTCTCCCCTCCCCAGCTTCGTCTCCATTCTCCTGGATTGCTGGCTCAACACTATGAACTAGGGAGAAAGGTGGAAACCAACAGTTCACAACTGCCCAGAGATGCCCCGAGTTCTACAGCAGGCGCCTTGTCTCCACTCAGAATGCAAATGTTTGTCAACCACCTACCATGTGCTAAGCAGGAAAAGGGAGGGAAGACCCCTGCCTCTCCTTCAGGAGGCTATGGTCTGGGAAGGCAGAGCAGACAAGACATGGCACACAGCGAGGCTTGGACGGGGCTCCTAGGCCTGGGTGGGCACTGAAGGCTTTACAGGGTGGCCATGAGCTCTGAGTCCCCCCATCCTCATCTTTAAAACAGAGCCACTGGAAACTCTGGCAGAAGCTTAAATGAGGTAAACGAGTTACTTCATGGGAGGAGCAGAGTGGCGCTGTGAGGCAGGGCTCACCAGGAAAGGAGGGTGGCTCGCAGCCCAGCCAGGGGAGCTGGCCTAAGAGGGGCGGTGGGGTTGGGTCTGAGAAATTTAGGAGGAATAGTCAGGGAGAGGCACAGGAAGGAAGAAGCTCCTCATGACAAATAGTAAAGAAGAGCCCCAACAGCAAAAGGGCACATCAAAAGGACATGGAAGCTGGCTGGAGAGGCTCCCATGGGCCACGCTGGAGACCATGTGTATGCCACAATAAGAACCAAACACACAAACACCATTTATCCATGGAGTGAGACAGAACCCCGGAGTCCACACAATGTAAAAACATGAGTGAATAAGTAAAAGAGACTAAACAGACATGATTGCCTAAAGTAATCATGATCCAGGGGTGGGGTGGGGGTGGGGCAGCCTCTGAAGGATGCTTCTAAAACTGGCAAATTTGAACATTAAGTAGGAATTAGATAATAATATACGATGTTAGATCCAATTTTGATGAATGTGCCATGGTTACGCAAGAGAACATCCTTGTTCTTAGGAAATACACACCATGGATACTCATCTAAAAACTGCACTCAAGTGATTCAGAGAATAAGGTATGTGTGTGTAAAAGGGGAGGGTTGAGAAAACAAACTGGTGACTGGATAATGGGCACACGGTATGTCTTTATACTGCTCTGTGCAATTCTTTTACGTGTGAAATTACATCAAAATAAAGTTCAAAATAACTGCTCAAGCATGAAACATAAATGGCGTGCAGTATGATTCGGTTAGTTTCCTACTCAAAGTAGACTGTATTCTCAGGAAAATGAAGAGGCTCGACTGGTGGTGCGTGACAAGCTCTGTGGATGTCATGCTAGGTGACACGGAGTGAAATCAACAGGCTAGACCAGACTAATAGAACACACTCTTTGTATCACAAATGCAAAGCAAGTGGGAGAGAGCCAACCGACCACACCACTCACACCAGCCCCGCATCCTGCAGGCCACCTCCCCAGCCACCGACCACACCACTCACACCAGCCCCGCGTCCTGCAGGCCACCTCCCCAGCCACCAACCACAACACTCACACCAGCCCCGCATCCTGCAGGCCACCTCCCCAGCCACCAACCACAACACTCACACCAGCCCCGCATCCTACAGGCCACCTCCCCAGCCACCAACCACAACACTCACACCAGCCCTGCGTCTACCTCCCTGACCACACCACTCACACCAACTGTGTCTACAGACCACCTCCCCGACCATTGACCACACACTCTTCTTGCTCACAGGGGATAGGTCTTACAAAGTAATGTGAAGTGAGGAAAGAGGCAGCTGCTAGGGATAGGTTTCTGAAGCCTCACCACACGTGTTTGAGTGATGTCATGAGAAATAGCGTGGAACTGAACTCAGGGGCTTCCCGTGGATATGATATTGCAGGTCCTTGCTCTTTCCAGCCTTGTCACCATGTGCATGCCTCCAGGACACAAGAAGGACACCCTGCCACCCTGCGAATAACTGATGTGGACCATCTTTGGAGAGCAGGGAGTGACCCTGTGCCTCTGGCAGCCCCTGGAATACATGAATGGAGCTCACATCTAGCACCGGAACTAACAGTAGGGAACAGCCTCACCATGTTGTGTGACTGTCGCCCATGCACACCACTGCTTCCTGCATGGGGCAGGACCACCACTCAATCAATTAGCACAGAGCTAATGGGGGGACCCACCTGGGTTTTCCTCTCTGTCTGGGAATTTAATCTGAACACTGTAATCCCGAGTAATTTGCTGGATTCTGGAACCTTTGGGGCCCATGACAGATCGATGGAATTTCTGGGGTATAGCACATTCTAATGTCACCTGAGCTTCCTGGAGGGAGGCACACAAAGAAAAAAGAAAAAAGCAAAGATTAAATTACTTAGGGTCAATTTATAGCACTCTTTATACCATCTTCCTTCCAATCCTCTACAGCCACTTATTAGCACAGAGACACTCCCCACTTTCTAAGGTGAATCCAGAGCTCCAGGTGTGACTGGATGGAGGGAGGGGAGTGGGGCAGGGCCAGGAGGGAGGCCTCTTTCTGAAACGTGTCCCAGAAGACTTAAGAAAATATTGATGACTTATCTGCACAAAACTTACACTGACGCTTGCTATCACCAGAGATGGAACATAACGACACCCTACTCGACGTGCACACAGAGGAGGGGGAACCCCCTTCCCCACACTGCACAGTGAGCTGTCCAGTGAGGCCCGTCATCCCTGGAGGGCTGCCCTGTAGCCAGGGGAACAGGCCTTGGATGCTACAGTCTTTGACTCCACCCATGAGGAGGCACCAGGCTTGATGATTAGGGAAAGGGCATAAGAGGCCATGGCGGGGAAGCTCCAGCAGGCATTAGGCACGTGGAGGAGGCAAGTTCTCTACAAAGTCTGCTTTAGCAAACCAACACATTTTCATGTGACTTTTCCATGGCTTTACCTTTTTTAAAAAATTTTTTAAAGATATAAGCATAAGTATTAAGTACCTAAAGACAAAAAAGTTATGTACCTGGTTCAGAATGACAATATTTAAAATAAACATAGCAACAAATAATTAAGTACTCCCGACTTTTCAGAAGTACACTTTTGTTTACCATAATCCAAAAGCATGACAAAAAAGCATCAAAAGTTAATCAATTCTCGAGTGAAACTGTTTTAGTGCTAAAGGAACCTCTCTTATCCAGGACAGGCTAACTTTTTACATTTTCTTCACAAACCAATCTTCCTTTGAATTACCGCGTTTTTCTTTCTTTTTATTATTTTTCGTTTATTTATTTTTTTAATTCTACACGTTTATCGGTTGCAGTTTGTTTCAACACCCACATATGTTGGATAATGATCCGATCAGAACGTTAGCACATCTGTCACACGACTGTTTATCCACGGATTCACTTTGGCGTCCTCTTTCCCTCAGTCCATTTTCTTCCCTTCACACAGGCTTACCTCTTAGGTAAACTGTATTTTCCTTTTTTAAAAAAGCTGCTTTCAAAGGCAGCCTTCTCAGACTGTCAGAAAAAAGGAAAGGCTGAGAAAGGGAGACAGGGCACCAGAAAGCCTTCTCGAACCTGGTGGGGCTGCGTGAAGGAATGGCCTTCCTGTGGGAAGGAGGCAACACCCACCCACCCGCTCTGCTGAGTGGCCCTGGAGGGTGGGGTGGGCAGAACCCCACTCCAAGCCTCCCAGAGTCCTACCAAGTCTTCGATGATCTCCTGAATGCGTTTCTTGGCTGCCTCCACGCAATCCTTGGCGCCCTTGAGGGTGACTTTGTCGCTCTGTGTGCCAGAGCGTGGGAAGCTGACCATCACCCCACCATACTCTTCAGCAATCTCTCGCAAGACCTGTCCTCTTCTGATGACAAAATGGCGGTGGTGCTTGGGGTCCACCAGCATATAGTCTTCGACCACATTATCCTGCAGCATCGAGAAGGAATGGAAGGTAAACCACCCCACCAACAGTGCCTTGCAGAGCCCACAGCCAGGGCCAAGCTCCCTACCAAGTTCTGGATCAATGCCTCCAGTTCCTTCTGTGCCTCGCGGACAGCATCCTCCTTTCCTATGATTGTGATCAGGTCCTGGTCCTTGTCCTCAGCTGCTGGGAATATGATGCGGGCTCCAGTGTTGTCACGCACCTTGCGGATTTTGCCACCCCCTTTGCCAATGAGGAATTTGTGATATTCTGGCTTGGCGCGGATGTCAACAGTGAAGCTCTTGGTTTGCTGAAAAAAACCAACCGCGTGTATGTTAGCCTTACACCACCTGCCTGACACCACAGCACAGGTGAACAAGAGGGCCTAGAGGACAGCAGTGTGGGGTGAGGCTCTCCTTACATCATCACCAGTATCTGAATACTGTGCCAATCCCCTCCAAAATGAGGCTAAATCACACCTCAGCCAAACAGACGAACACCCGGAGTTGCACTTGTACCTTTTTTCCACAACTATCAGAAAAATACCACGATAGCGAAGAGCACACAGACGTAGAATCCCTGTCCTGCCACTGAGAAGTAATGACTAAGCCTCTCCAAGCCATTCTCAATCTGCACAGGGTGTGTGGTAACGTGGTGAGGTGCTGGTAGGGCACGTGCCCTAGGGAGTGAGTTGCCACCAACACAGCAGGAAGTGCACAGTACACGGGTCCTGCCACAGGGCTTCCACTCTTCCCACCTGCTTCCAGACCAAACACACGCACAGTGCTCCCTGGCCTGGTCCTCCTTCCCTTCTATAAGCACTACTAATTAGCCCACAAAAAACCAGGAACCCTCCAAGCTCAAGCTCAGAGAGACACACACACCAGCCAAGGACACAGTTAGAGAAAAGCCCTAAGGTCTCACAGTAGCATGAAGCCCTCCTCTGACACCAAGAGATCAGGGTCCAGCAATGGCCCCTCACACCAAGAGCTCATCATGAACACCAATGCATCCAGCAGCCTTGGCCAGACTCATCTCGGAGAATGCAGGGGGACGTGTTGCTCTACGTGACTTAGACCCACAAGCACACTCCAAGCCTTCCTCTGGACCTGAGACCCAGCCCACGAGTGTGGAGAATACAGAGGAAAAGAGAAGACCTGCTTGAATGCACAATATTGAATAACTGATCTCTGTTATCTCCTAAGTGCTAGTTTTACCAAACACCACTGTGAGAACCTGCTACTCTTCAGACAAAGATATTCACAAATAGCAGCATTATTTAAAAGCCAATGGACTGGGTAAATCCAATCCAGCAATATAGTAAAGGATAACACACCTAAACCAAGTGGATTTTATCCCAGAAACGCAAGTTTGGTTAAACATTCCAAAAAAAAGTAAAAAAGATCATGCCAGCAGATGCAGAAAAAATATTTCACGACTAACATCCATTCCCCCCAAACTCACTCTTGCAAACTTGGAAAAGAAGAGAATTTCCTCAGCTTGGTAAAGAACATCTACAGGATTCGTACAGCTAACATCATACTTGACGGTGAAAAGCTGAGCGCTTTCCCCCAAGACCACGAACAAGGCACGGCTGGCCCCCCTCACCACTGCCGTCCACCCCTGTGCTGGAGAGCCTGATCAACGTAGTGAGATAAGAATACAAGACGTGCAAACGAGAAAGAAAGAAATGCTTCATTTCTCATCTAAAAGAAGAATCCACAAAAAAGCTGCTGGAATAAGTGAGCTTTATTTAGCACAGTCTCATGAAACAAGGTTAATATTAAAAAATCAAATGCATTTCCACGTGCTAAAAATAACAACTGAAAATAGAAAAATAGTACTGTTTACAATAGCACTAAAAAACATAAACAGTTACACATAAATCAAACAAAATGGATATAAGAACTGTATGCTAAAAACTACAAAACACCAATGAAGAATTAAAGACCTAAAAAATAAGAAACAGAACAGAAGACTCAAGACAGCCAAGTTAGCAGTTCCCACTAGTTTTGTCTTTTGGTTCATTCAGCACAATGCCAATCAAAATCTGAGTATTTTTTTTAACCCCCCTAAACACTGACAAGCTAATTCCAAAATGCATATAGAAAGACAAAAGATCTATAATAGCCGAAGTAATTTTTAAAAAGAAAAAAGCTGGAAGACTCACACTACCTGATTTCCTGACTCCCCCTTAAAGCCAGTCATCCAGACCCTGTGGTATTGCCAGGAACAGATTGCAGATGGGTTTGGCAAAGGGACAAGGGCAATCAATGAAGAATTTTGGGGTGTGACAGTCAATGAATTGATTGCAGTGGTGGTCAAATGACTGTATACTTGTTAAAACTCAGAACCATACACGAAAAAAGGTGAATTTAACTGTAAATAATACTTAAAAATACAGAACATGCTCCCCCCCCCCAAAAAAAAATATAAAAAACTAATAAAACAAAGAGCAAATTTTCTATATTGTTTATATGGGCATTAGGACCTGAAAAGGCCTTTCAGTAACGGCAAAATCAAAGAGGTATAAAGGTACATTATAAAGTTGTTTTCTGATCTGCCACAGAGAAAAGGCATTTAGGGTTTTCTACATTAGGAGGAACATTTTGAGTGAGGATCAGGCGTCCTGTTGAGACATGCTGTGGCCCCTCCCCAGGCCTACGTGGAGGGCTCTCACCTTCTCCTCCGCCAGGTGCAGCAGCTGCTTCTTGGCCTTCTCCACATCCGAGGAAGGGCCCCTGATGACAACAGTATCGCTTCCTGAACCTTCCACGGGGAAGTGAATATGGACCCCACCACACTCCTCCATGATGGAGCGGATCAGACGGCCCTTGGTGCCAATGAGGGAGTTGTGCAGCTTGGCGGGGATGGAGACCTCCACCTCGGCTATGTTGGCCTGGAACCAGAAACACAGGAGGAGGAGGAAGTCACATTTTTGTGCGGCAAGAAAGGGCTAGAGGAACAGAGAGTGAAGCCACAGTCTGGGTGGCGGTTAACACAGCAGGACCTGCAGTCCTCATGAACACGTGTTGGAGCTGCAGGGAGTGGCGGCACTACACACACACAAACAGCACAGGAGGAAAGCTGTGATTTTATACAATAAGATATGGTACTTTGCATCTTTAGTCAACTCAGTGACACTAGCTGACAGAGGTGGATCTCATATGCCTATAAACTTTTCCTATTAAAGCAGAGATCCTGATCCTAGCCAAAAAATCTGGAGCCCACTCACATACTGACATGTACCAGAAAATCCCTTTGGGCCACAGAAAGAACTCCCTGGAAGGATTACAGGAAATAGTGCTTGCAGCTCAGTCAGGGCCTGGTACAGTACCTGTCCTCAGCAGCCAGACAGGAAATTCTTGACTTTCTGGGACATTTGGTGTAGTACTAAGAAGGCTGTTACCTCAGTAGTGGGAAGTATTTGGGCCTGGATTAAACACTGCTCTGATCTCAATTAATAGACCTTAAAAGCTAGACTAAAATATCAATAAAAAAATACTAGGCATACAAAAACACAGGAAAAAACAACTCATGACAAGGAAAAGTAAATAGCAAACAACTCAGAAATGACACAGATGTTAGTTAGAATTAATAGGCCAAGGACACTAAAACAAGTGTTTATACTATCTACAGTCAAAAGTCAAAGAAAGATTGAACATATTAAATACTGAAAAGAGAAGATATTAAGATTCAAACTAAACTTGTAGAGATGAAAACAACGTTTGAAATGAAAAACATACTGGATGAGATTATAGGCAGATCAGACACTGTAGAGAATTAATGAATTTAAAGAAACTCACAGAAAAAAACACTGTCCCTTCCCCCCAACTGAAATAAACAGAATGTCAGTGAAGGGTAGGATAACTAATACCCAAGTAATTATAGTCCCTGAAGGAGAGAAAAACCAGGGGCTAACAGAATAAAATTTAAGAAACAGTGACCCAAATTCCCCAAATTTAATGAAAACTCTAAACCCACATATCCAAGCGCTGAATGAACACCAAGTGAAGAAACATGAAGAAAACTACACAAAGACACATCATAACTTTCTCAAAGCTGGTGATAAAAATCTTAGAAGCAGCTGGGGAAAAAGACTAGTCATGCACCGTGGAACATGGCAAAGGACGTCCTACTCCTCGTCAGAAACAACGAATGTGAGAAGACATGAAGCAAAGTCTCAAGCCCCAAAGAGAAAAAACTGCCAACCCAGAAATCTGTATCCCACAAAAATATTTTTCAAAAATGAAGGAATAAAAATTTTTCAGACATAGAAAAACTGGAAGAATTCATCACCAGCAGATACACACTGCGAGACATGTAAAGGGATGCCCTGCAGACAGAAGAAAATGCAAACACAGACCTGTACGCAGGACTGAAGAGCTCTGGAAATGGCAGTGAAGTGGGTAAATATGTAAGAGTTTTTCTTATTATTTAAATCTCTTTAAAAAAATAATCGAGTGTTTAAACAAAAACGTTAGCAACATATCATGAGGGTTACAGCATGTAAGAGAGTAAAAGGTACAACAGCAAAGCACAAAGGCTGGGGGCAGAGGAGTGGGAAGTAACGCAGTGACATAAGACCACCTGATGGCAGTCTGATAAATTCAAGATGCACATCGAAAACCCTAAAGCAACCACTAACACGAAAGAGAGTAAGGTCTAATAAGCCAACAAAGGGAAAAAAAGGAATCATAAAATATTCAAGCCAAAACAAAGGAGAAAAAGAGCAAAAAGAGAGTAACATAGACGGGACAAACAGAAAACAAATAGCAAGACGGTTAAACCCAACCGTGTAAAACAATCACATCGAGGGACCAGGAGGGGGGAAAGCGGAGTTACTGTGTAATGGGTATAGAGTTTCTGTTGATGAATAAGTTCTGAAAATGGATAGGGTGAGAGTCGCAAACCTTGTGAATGTACTTAACACCACTAAATTACCCACTATAAAATAGTTAAAATGGAAAATTCTGTCATGTGTATTTTACCACAATTTTTAAAAAATGAAAAAAACCACAGTAAAAGTAATTTAATCACATGTGTTGACAGATTCAATAAAAAAAGCAAACTGATGAAAAGAAACCCACTGTAATATCAGAAAAAGACTTCAGAGCAAAGAGTATTAAAGGAGGTCATTTTATAATGACAGATTACACATATTATGAATGAGAGAGGTGACACACAGACAGCAAAAGGATAATACGAGAATATAATAAAAAACTTTATACTAACAAGACAACTTATATAAAATAGAAACCCCCCTGAAAGATACTAATTACCAAGCACCATCAAAAAGAAACAGATGATCTATCTATACAGTGAAATATGACTCTACAAAGATTATTAACTTTTTTAATTAAAGAAAATATTGTCAGCACCTTCAGATATGACTTTTAAGTAGCATAAAGATTAACAGAAAGAAAATGTCTAATGGAACAGGTACTCACGTCAAGCACTAGTGCTGCACGTCCAGGTAAGGAAGCCCTGTGAAACAAACTACCTGTCGCCTGGCTGTAAAGCTGTCCTCTTCTACAGGAGCCTCGTGCTGGCCCCAGGGCCCTGTGTGACCAAACCCCAGGCTAGCGCTGTGGAGGCTTGTCAGAGATCCTACAACAGGAAGCCTGGCTGAGGATCTCCATCATAAAACCTTTCTCATTACCAGGTCCTTCTGAATGGACAGAATCCGGCTCCGGGCCACTTCGCAGTTGGCTCGCTTGCCTGTGATGACAATGGTCTCTGAATTGCTGTTCTCTGCTGGAAGGTCAATCTTGGTGTTGCTTTCTTCACGAATCTACATGGAGACAGATGAACATGAGAAGCTCACTACAGTCTTCCCACAGTTGAGACACTTGGAGGAAGAGTCCCTCCTTCCAATCTAAAACTGGAATGTTGCAGGGCTACAGGGGACAGGACGAGAAGAGCCAAAATTCAGGGCACAAGCTGGTCACCTTTTTAATGTTTGCACCGCCTTTCCCAATGATGTTCTTGTGAAACTGTTTGAAGATCGGAACAGAAATTGAATAGCTATTTTCCACCTTAAAGACAAAAGAGATGGCACATTAACCCTCCATGCTAGAGAGGGAAGTACCTCGCTAACCCCTGAAGGCAGTATGAACATAATGGGGCACTACTATCAGCAAACAGGGACTCAGATCCTACCTTCCTCCCTGCCTCTCTGACCTTTAGGGGTTTGTCGTGATGATCAGTGAGATAATTTGTCCAACAATTAACTAACCTGGCATGTCACGGTCAATGTTCTTTTTTTTTTTTTTTTTTGTCTTTTTGTCTTTTTTCGTGACCGGCAACAGATCGCAACCCTCAGTGTCGCAACCCTCGGTGTTGCCCCCGCTCCTCGCTCAGCCAGTGAGTGGCCGGTCTGTATGTGGGATCTGACCCCTCGGCGGGAGCGCCGCCACGCTTCCCATGCGGCGCACTGTAGCAGTGCGCCACCGGGCCGGCCCACGGTCAATGTTCTTTTTTTTTTTTTTTGTCTTTTTGTCTTTTTTCGTGACCGGCAACAGATCGCAACCCTCAGTGTCGCAACCCTCGGTGTTGCCCCCGCTCCTCGCTCAGCCAGTGAGTGGCCGGTCTGTATGTGGGATCTGACCCCTCGGCGGGAGCGCCGCCACGCTTCCCATGCGGCGCACTGTAGCAGTGCGCCACCGGGCCGGCCCACGGTCAATGTTCTTTTTTTTTTTTTTTGTCTTTTTGTCTTTTTTCGTGACCGGCAACAGATCGCAACCCTCAGTGTCGCAACCCTCGGTGTTGCCCCCGCTCCTCGCTCAGCCAGTGAGTGGCCGGTCTGTATGTGGGATCTGAACCCTCGGCGGGAGCGCCGCCACGCTTCCCATGCGGTGCACTGTAGCAGTGCGCCACCGGGCCGGCCCACGGTCAATGTTCTATACTCCAAAAGCAATCAAGTCTGGCCAGGTACCCTCAACCAACACCCTGGCCAAGAGGGAGCTTGTGCCACATGCCACGATCACAGCTGGCTGAGGAAGGGGCTCAGAACACACATGTAGACAGCACACAGACCTGGGTGCTGGGCAGTGGTCCACGAGGGCAAAGTCTCCCTGAGCAACCACGGGGACACGCTGCTGTCTGTGCCCTTCTTGTTCATCACTCTTTCACACTTTCAAAACCTCTTCCCATCTCAGTTTTTGAGGAAAATAAGTCAACCAATGACTCCTCCTTTTGCCCATGTTCTCTCTCTCTCTCCTTAAAGGATGGGATGGTTTATCTATCTAGGTATCTGAAGAGCCCTCAAGGAAACAAGATAATTGGGCATAAGAAAAGGTGGCTCTCCTGCTGGAATTCCAGCGACGGTCACGGCCAGTCTGAACACCCAGCTTTGAGAGGGGCTGCCACTACCTTCTCCCAGCCGCTGAGATGGGACACATGTCCCCACCCTCCCATACACATCATCTCTGTCAAAGAAAGGATGTGAAATGTCCCCTACCAGATCTGCCACCATCTTCTGCATGTATTTTGTGCATTTTTCCACCTCATTCTTAGGTCCTCTGAGTTGGACAATATCACTTTTTTGTGCTGGGTCTGGAAAGTTGATGATAACCTAGAACAAATCACCAAGGGACAGAGTTTAATCTTAGGACAGACTAGATTCTGAAATACTCTATGTTCACAAAATGCAAATCAGATTACTCCTAGAGGGTTAAAGAACGGATGGATGTCTTGGGGAAACCTTTACCTCTGGGAATTTGTCACGAATTTCACGGATCCGTTCACCTTTCTGCCCAATGATTGTGCGATGAAATTTTTGCTCAATGATTAGATCCTTGGTACGCTCATTTTCCTAAAAATACAATTAAAGTACATTAGGAGGCATCAGAAAGTCCTGGGGACTGCTGCAAGGCCACTGCACAGCCCAGCTGTTGCCAAGCAGCAGATGAGGTGGTGCCCAGGTGGCACCCTGCAGCACCCCTGGGAGCAGCAGGCCATTGGGGAGTGCTCACTGCAAGGTGCCAGCTCTCTCCAACAACTGTTACGCTCCAAATTACGCTGACTGCACATTATTCTCCCAAACAAAGTACAATTAAAGAACCCATCGTAGGACCCTCCACCAAAAACACTATCATGGTAGAGACAATCCCCAGAGCAACTTAGTTAGTACTTGCATTTATAACAAGAACCAGAAGTGAGCCCTGCACTTCTACTTGGAGGCTTAGCACTCTGCACAGCAGGGTGCAATCCCTCCAGAACACGACATGGCTCAGACCGATTCCCCTGCATGGATAATTAAGAAAGAATGGCTCAGCACAGGGAACTGAGCCCACATGGTTCTCAACCTCCACCATAGGTCCCATGACAATGTCAGAAAAGACACAGAAGAATAAACAGAGCTGAAATCCAGGAAAGAACATATCAGCCTACCACACTCTTTAAAAGAAGTCTGGGAGATTCTGGATCAGACTGAAGTCCAGTTGACACAGAAATAAGGGTTCAGCAATCAGTAAATCAGTATAGGCATAATGTAAGGAACCTGGGAAGAAGGGCAGGATGAAGAAGAGGAGAACCCAGGACACCAGGCTGGAGAATAAGCTCAGGGATGGCCAGAGAGCAGTGGGGGGGGCCACACCACACCCTGGGTTACAGGTGAGGAAAATAAACACACTACCAGTAATAGAGGTCTTCTCAGCATGGATGCTGGGGTGAGAGGGTGAACAGGGAATGCTGAGATGACAGCGAACCCTGGGGCTGTCTCTTACCCCAGCTGGGTGGGAGCGCTGCTGCAAGCCCTCGTGCAGTATCTGGCTTTTCTGGATTCTTTCATGTGCAGCCAAGGTTGAGAGACACTGCTGCATGGTTGTGTGCATCTGGCTCATGGAATCCAGAGCGCTTGCCCCTTAGCACTTTGGGTTGGGGGATAATGATGCTGCACTGATTCTCAAATTTGGCTGTACATGAAATCACCTGAGACTTAAAAGATTAAAATATTAGGCAAAACCAAACTACAGTGGGTTTTTTTTTTACCCCCCCCCCCCCATAAAGATGACCAGTAAGGGGATCTCAACCCTTGGCTTGGTGTTGTCAGCACCACGCTCAGCCAGTGAGCCAACTGGCCATCCTTATATAGGATCCGAACCCGTGGCCTTGGTGTTATCAGCACTGCACTCTCCCAAGTGAACCACGGGCCGGCCCCAAACTACAGTGTTAAGAGATGCATGTTGGGGTGATAAAACTATGAAGTAAGGACGCCATTTCAGAAAAGTCATTATAGTGGTAACACTTATATGTGTGTGTGTGTATGCGCGTTTTTTTTTTTCCCCCCCCCCCCCATAAAGATGACCAGTAAGGGGATCTCAACCCTTGGCTTGGTGTTGTCAGCACCACGCTCAGCCAGTGAGCCAACTGGCCATCCTTATATAGGATCCGAACCCGTGGCCTTGGTGTTATCAGCACTGCACTCTCCCAAGTGAACCACGGGCCGGCCCCAAACTACAGTGTTAAGAGATGCATGTTGGGGTGATAAAACTATGAAGTAAGGACGCCATTTCAGAAAAGTCATTATAGTGGTAACACTTATATGTGTGTGTGTGTATGCGCGTGTTGTGTGTCTGCATGTGTTGTGTGTCTGGAGGTGGTTACAAGGAGGCACATGGAAGGTTTCTGGAATGGATTGCAAGGTTCTAGCTTCTGACATCAGAGACAGTAAAAGAGTGTCTGCCTTAATCAGTAATGGGTATTCATTAACTGCAAATCTGCTTTATAAATTTTTTCAGTATTTGTGCTACCTACAGAAATAATTTTTTAAAAAATCACCTGGGGTGCCTGCAAGTGTCTGAAAATGTCTGTCACAAATCATAATCTCTGCAGTTGGTACCAAGGCATCTGGGACCCCAGGGTGCAGCCAAGGCTAAGGAACCCCCACCCAGCTCTGTGCTTCTCTAGCACAGCGCAGGCCATGGGGGACAAGATGTGCTGGTGATCTAGGGAGGATGAAAGAAATGTGGCCCCAGTGAGTTAGATCCTCGCTCAACACAAGGTGGGATTTTGTGACTCCCATATTCCAGGACCACACACCTCAACAATGCTACTCCTTAAGATGCAGCCAATAGCCTCAGGTTTGCGGCTTCCTGGCAGCACCTAGACGCCCGGCTTACCATGCGAGATGCAAGCTCCAGCAGCTCCCGCTTGGCCTGCTGCACGCCCTGTGGGTCTCCCTCGATGCGGATCAGGTTGCTCTTCTCACTGTCAGGAGGGATGCGCACGGACACCTTGTACTGGTCTTTAATTCTGTTTACTTAGGACACAAAAGGAAACAGGCCTTGGACACAGAACCTACAATATTCCGTCAATGGCTAATAACCAGGCAGGATAGGGCAAAAGCCCCAAATAACCTTATCAGTTATTCCCCATTCACCAAAAATGATGAGTAGCCTCCCAAACAAGAATTTCCATTGTCTAGAACAAGAGACAGTCATGATCTTCACCGGGAATACAAGGTTTCTAGAGCACTGGCTGGCTCCCAGGCCAAGAGCTTCAAATGACTGAGAGCTGAGACCACCTAGCGTCTGAGACTTAACTGGTCTGGGGTATGAACAGTACGTCAGAATATTTAAAAGATCCTGGGTGTTTCTAACATGCAAACAAGTTCGGGAACTACTATTCTCAAGTAAAAAAAATTATACACCTTAACTCAAAACAAAAGCACCCCATCGACTGCCTAAAAGCCACATGGTAACCCTGCTGCTGACTGAAGAGATACCGTTGTCAGCTCAGATCCAAACTGAGCACTTTGTGGTCTTCGCAAAACAAGTGGAGCTGCAAACCGTCTGGCTGCCACCTTCTCTGGACAGAATCCAGTGACCCTGGTTTGAAATCCAGGCCCCCACCCCCCGCCCCCCAAACTGTGGAGAAGCTGAGCTCCTCGGAAGGACCACCTAAGAGGGCTCTGTGCATACATTCCAAACAAGTGCATACACACACAGGCAGTACTGAGGCAACCTGACATGGGGACCGACACGGCCATACAGCCGTTCCAGCGTGAAGCAATGCTGGACAAGAGCAGATTGTAGCTTGTGGAAGAAAATGAGGGTTAGGAACTGGATCAGAAGAAAATGGAACAGACAATTCCTTGACCACACTAAGCCAAGTGGTTCTGCAATTCCTAGGGAGCAGAATGAGACATTAACAAATAAAACCAGACACTACTGCACTTACTCATATTTTTTGTGCGAGCTAACACTGCAGTTAACAAAAGAAAAAACAAAACCACAAAAGCAGGTTTATGGTGTGGACACAGTTTAAGCAGAATGAAAACGCAGGCACTGACAGAGGTCACTCTGCCTCTAGATTCTCATGTGAAATACCCACAGAACACAAAACTGACACCAGAGAGTGCACACTGTTACACAGGCCACGGCAGAGCTGATCACCTTATGTTTGCCCTTAACTACAAGAGACTGTATAGGCTATCAGTCATATATACACAGGTGGAGTCCCCACAGCCTAGGAAAGGATCCCTTGTCAAGTGAACAATCCAGGAATGGGGTATATGTTAGCCCTCTTGAGTCCCACCAGAAGGCAAAATGCAGGGCGGGGAGTTGTTTTCAGAATGCGTATGCATCCTGATGTGCAGGTATGGCCATGCAGTTCAACTAAGTGAAAAAGCAGGTTTAAAAAATCTTGGACTCACAGCCTAATGCTCAGTTAACATGTTTCCAAGATCATCATATGCTTGTGCTACACCTACAACCTGACCAGATAAGTCAGCCACTGAACCTGGGCTGACATAGTACTATTACTGCACAGAATCCCTCCCCAAGCTATCTGACTTGGGCTGGAGTCTAGAATTGTCTTACTCCTTGGTGAGCTCCAGACTGGAGACATGTTTGGCAGGGAACACATGAGTGCCACAGCACAGGTGGGCTAGGCCCCCGGCAGGGGAACACAAGAGCGCCACAACACAGGTGGGCTAGGCACCCCCCAGCAAGAAACACATGAGCACAACACAGGTGGGCCAGGCCTGGCAAGGCTGGTTGAAACGTGAAGGATGCAGTCATGGGCGTGCCTTTAGCAAGGCCCCTGTGGGTCACCTAAGGAAGGCTGATCAGGTTGGTTTCTGAAAGTGCACAAGAGTGCACCTATAGGCCAAACCAATCACAGCCCCAAAAGGAAAAAGGAAAGTGGCCTGTTCTGGCAGGTGGAGGAAGATATGCAGTCAGAAAGTCCCTGACGGAGAGCACCTGGCTGGGCTGCCTACACTGACGTCCAGTTTTCAGAGCTGACATCTCCTCAGGGTCTCAGGGCCCTGCACAGGACACACAGGCCCTGCCGCCGCCCACTGGCCTCACTCACTGTTGGCTCCGCTCTTCCCGATGAGGTGTCTGTGGAACTTGTGGTCAATGTTGATCTCCACATAGTCCATCCGATTAATCTGTAGGAGGAGCACAGAGGTGACCAACAGAGACAACCGCTTCGGTCCGCAGGACAAGGAGCCAGAACCAAAATCCAAAAGCTCTCAAGTCAACCTTTTCTTAGCACTCAACTGTCAGGGATTGTTGCCAAGACTGTCTGTCTGGCTGCCCTGAAAGCGCCCTTCTTCAAAATAAGGTTTGCTCTACCCAGGGTTCTTCTGGGACTGTGGCTAACTTCCAGCTGTCTCAGAACCTATTACCTACCCAACCAGGCCTCCCTTTTGTGTCTCCAGGCCCACCCACACATCTGACTGACAACAAGATTGATGCCCGTCCGCACCTCACCAGAGCCTCCCTCGTCACCAGCACAAGCACGTTCAAGGGGCACCTTACCAAATCTTTGACCATGCCTTCGATCTGTTCCTGGGCCACGTTTACATCTTCTGTGGGGCCTTCCAGGGTGATCTTGTCCTCGCCTTCCGTGAACTCAATATGAACCTACCACACCAAGATGAGGAAAGAGATGGCTAAGACTAAACAGCACAGCTGCAGCACCCTCAGCCTGTGGGGGACCTCTTGTGGGGACAGCAGCTGATCCCAAACTGTTTCACATAAATGTAGGGGTGGGAGGGTCACATCCACACATAGCACACAAAGTTGAAAGAAAGGGCTGGGGGAGGACCACTATTTTGAAACTAAATAACGTGTTCTAATAATCCTGTCCTTTCACCAAGAACGGGAACTGCAAAGTCCTTCACGCTGTGCTTGCCCCCAAAGCCACCAACCTAAAGCACAAGAATGCCACTACTGTTCACGTGCTCACACATCACTTTTCCTTTCAGAAGGCCTACTCTTCTTTAGCTGCCTGAAGAATGAGACAGATAGCAGGGACGGAATTTTAAAACAACTAGAGTTGCCCGATGGTGGTAGAGTACCTCAAAAGGCCATCGACCTTCCCAGTTTGTAACACTCCAGGTAAGGAGGTCAGGAAGGGAGGCCAGCCCATGAAGCAATTATATCTGTGGGAACCAGGAGTTTGAAGCTAGAAAAAGTAAAACGACTAAAAAGTAAACTGGAAACTAAGTCTAAACAGAGCAGGAATAAAATATGATAACTGGGTTCTCTGGCATTTCCTTCCTGTTCAAGTTTCCTGGGCGCTACCCTCTCCTTTGGAAAACTGAGAAGACTTTAAGGGTAGGAATGCAGAGGGTGAAAAGGCCCATTTAATTTACACTTAACATGACTTGAATACAAGTTTTGCTCTTCATATTATTACGAAGTTATTACACCATAATTATAAAATGAGATATTTCTTAAGATACTTATTAAACCTAGCAATACACATCCTCTCTGGCTACAAAGACCAAAAGAATGGTGTAGATACCTAAAAATATTTATTTTGCTCTCCCCTTAGCTAACCATGGAAGGTGACTGTGTCAAGCAGGACAACTGACTTTGAAAAATGTGTCAAAGTCTTCAAAGGCATCCTTAGGACAAAACAGCAACAACAAAACAGTATCAGAAATAGGACGATGGAAAACAAGATAAATTCAATGTAACAGATGGAAAACATTTCCTTACTTTTGGCATCTGCTGAGTGATTTTGGCCAGGTTCTGCCCTTTTTTGCCAATGATGAAACGGTGAAGCCACGAAGGGGCAGAGACAGAGGAGACCGTAAAACTATTTGCCTAGGGAAAACAGAAAAAGTAACCTGTGGATTCGCAAAGCTCAAGATTATGTTAAAACGAAAACCAAACTACTCACTTAGGGTTCAAAGGTGAGTGCTCCCAACCCAGCACATTTCTTTGTATCCAAGACCCAGGATATACTAATCAAAAGCCTATCTGTAAAAGGCCCCTCATAGTTCACCGAAACAAAGCACACTTCACTCTCAGAGGCAGTTACCTTGGCATAGACTTCAGTCAATGCCTGCCCTAACTTTTCAGGCTCGCCTCGAAGAATCACAGTCTCGGAAATGCTGTCTGAGGGTGGGATCTCAACAGAAACTCCAGTTCTTTCCAGGATCTCCTGCAATGAATTGCCCTTGGGCCCAATGACATACTTGTGCTGGGATTTCTTCACTTCCACCGCAATGGTTGTGGTCTTCTTTTTCTAAACAAGAGTATTGTAAGAGTAGTCAAAGGGAAAGGCATGGAGGTGGGCAAATAGGGACAGAATGTCACTGCCAAAAGAGCAAGAAGTGAGGCAAAGGGCCCCAGACTACAAATGCTGATCCCCAGCAAGTCAAGACTACGACCAACCAATTTCCAGAAACTCCATTTGTCAAGGGGTGGATTTCCCCTCAGTCTAGTCACCCCAAACAGATAACTTCAACATGACACACCTGAGAACAGCAAGTCCTTTCCCCAATCTAATCAGACCTCAAAGTTCACCAACTTGAGTGAACAGCTCAAAGATGTGAACAACTCCGAGCTGTACTTCCTGCCCTCTGCCAGCCCCAGTCAGTAACCTGCCAGCACAGACAGTGGCCAGGCACCAATCCCTTACTGTGGACACTACAGTGGAGAGAGAGTAAACGTCTTGTCCAAGGACAAAGGATAAGGGATAGATCTGGGCACTACCCAAACCACCAGACCCAAATCCTGTTCTCCATTCCTGCCTATGGGGCCTGCCTCCTCCAAGCTGCACACCTTTTCCTCATAAATCTTCCTGATGCGAGCCACAGCCTGAGCCAACTGCTCCTTCTCTCCCGTGAAGACAATTTCTGTCCGGTTGACGCTGGGTGGGGGGATGTTGATGCGCGTCCCTGTCTCCTGCATGATCTCGCCGACGAGTCTATTATATGGCCCAGCGATGAAGGGGTGGAAGGCCTTCTCCACTTCTAGCCTCTCCACAGCACGTTTGTCCTGCAAGGGACAGGAAGGACTGATGAGAACAGGCAGGGCTTTACAGCGGCCAGGCCATGAGCCTGCACAGGAACGACTGTCCCCTGGGGAGCGAGGCCTGCGCTGAGCAGGAGCACTCACAGAGGCCTTACCTGCTCAGCAGAGATGAGTAAGACTTCATGGCGAGCTTTTTCGATGCCCTCTTTGGTTCCGGTGATCTTGATCTGGTTGCTCGGGTCATCTGGGCGTGGGATCTGGATTTTGGTTGCAGTTTTTAGCTCCAAGTCTTGCAATTTCTCCCCATTTTTGCCAATGACAAAGCGATGGTGTTCTTTGGGAATGGGAACAGTTGCTGAGGCCTATAGCAGGAAAAGAATCAAAGAAACAAAAATATTTGCAGGTTCTGAAAAAACTTATTTTTTCACGATATTCTCTCTGGTTGGAACACCGCCCTTGCCTGTTCTTGACCACCAACCCCAACCCATCCATTAGAACAGCATGAGCACAAACATCACCCTCCTGGGGAAGCTAGGGTAAGTTCAAGGGTGCCTGCACCACTACTTAACACCTGCTGGAATATATCTCCATGAAAGGAGATAAGAGAAAGTAAAACAGCTACAAAGTTTGGACAAGAAGAGGCCTAAGACTGCACACCTATAAACCCTGGAGAAACTATAATAGGGAGAAAAAATTAGAATACAGATGTCAACAACTACCCAGCAGTTTGAAGATATAATGAAAAAAAAAGACACTTTTTTAATAGGCAAAAGAGGGGGGGGGGACAAGAAAATAGCTAGAGAAAAAGCACACAAGGTGAAATATGTGCATTAGAAAATGCCCCTTAAAAGATCTAAAAAGTTTACATCATATAGATGTCAATACTCTTTTTTTTTTTTGTCTTTTTTCCGTGTCCGGCAACGGATCGCAACCCTCAGTGTTGCCCCCGTACCGGACCGGGGACCGGCAACGGGATTGCAACCCTCGGTGTTGCTCCCGCACCTCGCTCAGCCAGTGAGCGGGAACCGGTCTGTATGTGGGATCCGAACCCTCGGCGGGAGCACCGCCGTGCTTCCCAAGCGGTGCACTATCCAGTGCGCCACCGGGCCGGCCCCGTAGATGTCAATACTCTTAAGATTAGTTTTTTTTTTAAAAAGATGACTGGTAAGGGGATCTCAACCCTTGGCTTGGTGTTGTCAGCACCACGCTCACCCAGTGAGCTAATCAGCCATCCCTATGTGGGATCCGAACCCGTGGCCTTGGTGTTATCAGCACCGCACTCTACCGAGTGAGCCACGGGCCGGCCCTTAAGATTAGTTTTAAAAAATTAATGCAATTTTGGGCCCACCCGGTGGTGCACCGCTACAGTGCGCCGCTTGGGAGTGCGGCAGCGCTCCCACCGAGGGTTCGGATCCCACATACAGACCGGTTCCCGCTCACTGGCTGAGCGAGGGGCGGGCGCAGCACCGAGGGTTGTGATCCCGTTGCCGGTCCCGGCCCGGTACGGGCGCGACAGTGAGGGTTGCGGTCCGTTGCCGGACACGAAAAAAGACAAAAAAAGAAAAAAAAAAAAAAAATTAATGCAATTTTGAAAAACCTGATTATAAAGTTTGCAAAGTAGAACAAGAATAAGCAAAAACAAACAAAAACCCTGAAAGAGAACAGTATAGGATAAAGAGAGTAATAAGGGTACTAGATATTGAAACATAAAACCATTACTATTAAAACAGGAAAGTATCAGCACACAGAGAGACAGACCAAAGGGTCAGAATTGAAAATCCAAAAACAGACTTAAGTTACTATGAACGCTTACAACATAATAAAAGCAGCCACTCAAGTCACTGGGGGGAGACTATCTTTAAAATGGTGCTAACAATTCTATAGCTATGTGGAAAAAGGTAAAGCTGGATCAGCACCACACCCCATTGGTGATAAGTTCCAAACAGATCAGGAATTGAAGTGCAAGAGCACCCTTATAAGCATCAGAATAAACTAAAGTTTCCCACAACTCAGAAGTGAAAAAAAATTCTTACAAAGACTCAAAATAATAAAAGATTAATAAATATGACTACGTAAGAATAACACTTTCATGTGGCAAAATACATTAATGTAAAAACAAAAATGACAAACTGGAAAAAATTACTTGTAACTTTTATTACTGATGAAGAGTTTAAAAAACCCCAATGCATGACACTGAGCTCCTGAAAATAGAGCAAGATGAAGAGCTTGACAGAAAAATGGGCAGAAAAGCAGACACACTTCACTGAAAAAAACTGCAAATGGCCCTTAGACAATGAAAAGGTGCTCAAGCTTGCTCATCAGAAAAATGCAAATTAAGAGTATATTAGGGGACCGGCCAGTTTGCTCAGCTGGTTAGAGCACAGTGTTACGACACCTAGGTCAAGGGTTCAGACACCCATGCCGGCCAGCCACCACCACCACCAAAAAAAAAAACCGTATTCTGCTACCTCTCCAATTGGCAAAAACCCAAGTATTTGGTATGCCTGGCTCTTGGACACTGCAGACGTAAGTAGAAAACATACAACTCCTAAGGGAGGAGAATTTAGGTGTAGATAGCTAAATTATGTATGTGGTCACTCTCTCACCCAGACCTCTCACTTCTAGGAATCTATGCCAAGATACAACGGGTAAAAGAGGAAACACCACATATACACAATTTTTATTGTGACAATTTATCAACAGCAAAAGTCTGGAAACCACCCAAATGCCCATCAATAGGAGCGTTTGAATAAATCACAGTATACCCACAGAGCATTTACACTGCTGTGTAAAGAAATGAGGAAAATCACTATTTACTGATAATGCAGACACTTCCAGAAAATGTTAAGGAAAACAAGCAAGGTGCAGAACAGGGTTCATGGCAAGCTATCTTCTGCTTCTGTTCTCAAACAAACAATAAAGGATAAACCAAGGGCTGGGGATGGTCACCCTCGAGGAGGGGAAGGAACAGCGTAAAGACACAGCTGAGCAGATTTCTCTGAGTGTACCTTATTACACAGCTCTGACTCTGCAATCACATAAATGTTGAAATAATTTTTAAAAACTGGAAACAAATGGAAACAAATAAACCTAACCATATATCAAGATGGTAAGATAATCCAGAAAAAATAATTACTTCAAGTGATTTTAAAACCCTGCTATCTCTCATCTTCATTAGAAATACCAGTTTGAACTCATGGTTTTCCTTTCTTAATAGCTCCACTTTCCTAGCTCTGTTCTCTGCAAAGGCCCAGAAACTTTGACAACCCAGTTGCAATGCGTACCCCACTGCATCTAGACTGGAGGCTGAAACTACAACTTCCTACTCAAAAGGTCCAGAGTTCATGGACAAACAGCTGGTTTAAAGTCTGTGGAAGGAAACACAATGGTACCTGAAAAAGTTTGTGGAAAAATGGAATTAAACAATAATACAAATCCTTTCATGAACTTTTTGAAGACCCCTCAGATATAAGATTAACTCAAAGCGTCTTTCTGGGTCAGAAAGTAGTAAGTTATTGAGAATAATAGGTTGTGACAGAGAGCTGCAGGGAGCAAACCCAAAGGGGTCCCACTGGAAAAAGATGAGACAATCTCGGTATAAAGAACCACAATAACAAACACACAAAATAATGACCCTAAAAAGACTCACTGATCATCACTGACGATGCCAGAGTGCCAATTTAGCCTGAAAACTGACAAGGGGAAAAGGATCAATCAATTTATCCAGCACTTCCCATCAACTGTTAATGAAGGAAAGTTCCTTATGAGAATATCAACTAATATCCGAGGAGAAACAGAATTAGAAAACCTTCACTTACAACCCTTAATGAATTTAGGCAGGGATCACCAATGGATGATAAAACTACTGCTCAATCTCAGTACAAGCAGAACAAACAGACATAACACCAAGCACACGGTGCCGCCTATAGCTTTCTTGCCAAGCAAACATGTTGACATGGAAGTAACCAAGGCCCCAGATATAACACCAGTTCACAGGAAATAATGACAGACAGATACCACAACAAACCAATGGTGTTAAAAAAAAGAAAAAAAGAAAAGGAGGGGGGGAAAGGGTACTGCTGAAGAATGAGACTTGAGGGCTGGCTGGTTAGCTCAGCTGGTTACAGCATGGTGCTGTAACACCAAGGTCAAGGGTTTGGATCCGTGTACTGGCCAGAATGAGAGACATGAGACTCTACAGTCAAATGTGATGTGTAAACCTTGTTTGGACACTGATCTGAACAAACCAACTGGAAAGATGTCTTTGAGATAATGAGAGAAGTCTAAACATAGACTGGGTTGAATATGGAAATAATATTGAAATCAATTTTATTAAGTGATAGAGCATGGTGTTATAACCCCACATAATGGCCAGCCCCTCCCCCCTCAAAAAGGTAAAAACTTTATTAAGCAAGTTAATCACACAATAGTTATATGCAAGGTACTTCAAAAAGTTCACGGATAATAGAATTGAAAGATAATACGAATCCATGACCTTTCTGAAGTGCCCTTCTATATATATATACACATATATACAAAAGAGGAGCCACACGGGTATTTACAGATGAGATAACATGTCTTGGATTTGCTTTAAAATAACCGAGGGGTGAGGGGTGGGTCAGGGATGAATGCCTTCACATGATCCATACACATTCAGTGAAGTGTCCCTTTCCTCTGTGGTATTTGATCACAAAACAGACAATCAAATATCTACTGACTAATAGACAATAGCAAAGACTCTGGCACCCATGATGCGCCAGCTACAACGCTGAACGATCACAAGCTACATTCCACCTTCACAACACCTCACGGTTTAACTCCCTTCATGAAGCCAGCCAGGGTTTGGGACTATCCTGGACCCCACCTGACTAAATGTCAGAGCTGGAGCTGGACCTGCACTGGGGCAGGCGATGTTCCTCCTCTCTGCTAAGCCCTAGAATCTTGCCCCACGGCCTATCTCAGACCAGATCCCCACCTTCTAACCACCATGTTCTAGAGCCAGCTCATGGAGGCTCTGCAGCAGGCAGGAAGAACCCCATTTCTAAATACATCCATCTAGTGTGACAGCTGTCATGTGATTCTCTACATTTTCTGGGTCTTTAAGTGCTCCCACTCAGGGAGAAATGCATCATACGTTTACTTATTACAGTGGTTCTCAAATAAATTCCACACACTGGCAACAGACTGCCAAAGACTAGGTAAGTGGTTTAAAACAAACAAAATTTGGACTTGTAATCTCCCAAGTTTGGAGCTTGGAAGTGTGTATTGAATAACAAGTGTACTAGCTGACTTACGTGCAAAGCGCTGGGGACTGCCCATCTACACCAACCACCTAGCAAGCCCTGTTTCTTTAAAGTGTCTCAAACTCTGGGACAAATTTAAAATTTTCAGTTCATTCACTCAAACAGCAAAAATGGTAGGTGTCCCAGTTCTATTGCTGACTTAATGGTTTTTCTCTAAAAATGCCAGGAGCATCTCTGAATGTTCCTGCCCTACCTCCAAACTACTGAACTGTCCAGTGAAGTTCTATCAGGAGGCGCCAGCACCACGGCATGGCACTACAGTCACTCGGGTGAACCAGGCCCAGGGACACCTACCCGAGTCTGCAGTCTAGCAACAATGTCCTTTGAGGAGAATCAGACACGAGGGCACCCACCTGAGTCTGCAGTCTAGCAACTATGTCCTTCCGGGCTTTCATGACAGCATCCAGCTTCCCAGAGACCATGATGGACAGGCCTTGGTCTTTGGCCAAAGACAGCTCCAGGTGAGCACCGGTCCTCTGCATGATCTCAAGGCAGATTTTTGCCTGTTCACCTTCTCCAAATTGGTTCATGTCCTTATATTTCCTCTCTTCCAGAGGTACATGGAACACCTGAGGGAAGGTTGAGAGACCAAAGAAGAGAAGGAAGGTCATCAACAGACCATTCACTAACTAAGTCATCCTTCCCAACACCGTCACCTTCTCCAAATTGGTTCATGTCCTTATATTTCCTCTCTTCCAGAGGCACATGGAACACCTGAGGGAAGGTTGAGAGACCAAAGAAGAGAAGGAAGGTCATCAACAGACCATTCACTAACTAAGTCATCCTTCCCAACACCCCCAGCCCAGGCACTGCTCTATGCCCTGGGACAGAGCAGTTAAAAGATAAAGTGCCTAAGGTCAGGAGGCTGATGCTCTAGTGCAGAAGAGAACTACACCCACTACAAAAATGAATGCGGTGGCAGTAAGTGCTATAGAGGAAGTGAACAGGGAGATGAGAGTGGAGGTGGATGAAGGGCAGATACTGAGGATGGCCTGCAGACACCTTCCTAAAGAGACAAAGCAGCTGACAGTCATGCTGGGAGGTGAGAGAGAAAGAGCAGGGTTTGCAGGCGGGGGTGGGGGCTAGGGTGCACAGCTAAGCAACACTCAGCCCAAGCTGCCGTGAAAGGCAAGAAAGGGTTTTAAGCAAGACACATGTTGCTTGATGACTCAAGGCTCCTCCAGCTGCTTTATGGAGATTGGACAGACGAAGGGCAAGGGTAGAAGCAGGAGGGCCCCACGGTCCCTGGTGTGAGGCCTGAGCTACCCAGCAGACAGTGGTACATTTAACACAATTATTAACAAGATAACAGGTTAAAATGAAAAGAGAAGGACGCAGTTGGTTATGAGTCTAGAGTTCAGGGAAGAGGACATACTGGCACATGGATGGTAATTATCCACCAAGACCAGACATGAGTTCACATAAAGCTTTGAAGCCCGCCAACATCTCAAATTCAGGTAGCAGAGAACAGGGCTAGTGAAGTGAAAAAAACAAGAAACTAGTTAGTTGCTTCAAGAGAGTGGGATGAGGTGTAGCAACACACAGGCTCTGGACTGCAGTGAGTGGAAAGCAAAGGGACCTGTTAATCTGACAAACGCGGCCGCAGACAGACTGTGTGCCAGCCCTGCAGGGTGCTTGGGATGCAGTGCAAACAGGACAGGGCTGTGCTACACTGCCACTTACCCGGGGAAGGCCTCCTCCCTTTGCATACCCAGAGCATTCTCACTTTCGCATGTTCAAAAACCCTTCCATCAGATCCTACTTCTTCCTACTTGGAGGGACAGGCTGAGAAAGAATGGTGTTTCTACCTGAGTGATGATGGAAGCCTTGATGGGCCGGATCTTGTTACTCCAGGCTCCGGCAGGTTCCTGGGCACTTTCCAAGCATGCTGCTTTCTCAGGAAGTGGAGGGAAGGCATCCTTGTAGGTTGGTGGGTCACTTTCCTCTTCTGAATTTAAAGTGGCAACTGGACCAGGCAATACAGATTTAGAGGAAGTATACTACACTCAGCATTACATGAAAAAATACTTGGAGGGTTTTAGTGCTTAAAAAAAATAAAACAAACACCAACTGCTCGAGTGACAACTCCCTCCCCCACCAAACTTTCCTCATTAATAGTGATGGGAAATGTCCCAGGGTGCCACAAGCCCAGCACCCTCTTTGAGGGTATAAACTGCAGGAGGCCAGAGACTCCCAATCCCTGACAGCTAACCACCTGTGTCCTTCTACACAGCCTCCCCTGCGAGTGGTCAGCCCAGACACTGACCCCACTTTCCTACTGGGGTGAGCCCCTTGACGGCAGGCCTTGCCATGGAGATTTTTAAGCCCTCAAGCATCCTCTGATACCATACCAAAAAAAAAATCTACTGAAAAAAAATCATGACCATGACAATCCTGGCACAAAGCAGGCCCTTGAATTTGCAAAACAAAATAATGGTGCTGCTCAGCATTGCCTGGAGAGAACCGCCTTTGAAGCAAACTTCAGCTTATTTTCCACTATAAGGCACAATGCTGAAAATAACTCAGGGTCGGGGTAGGGGTGGGGGTGCCAGTCCCTGCAACCCTAGGCAGGGAGCAGCAAGACTTGTGGAAATCATGTTCCCTGGTTATTATTAATCACTTCCGTCTTCTGTAGTGCCCTAATTGTTCATGTTTTTGTACTATTTAACCACGACCTCCACAAAAGCAAGGGTATAACTGTTTTGGATAACCCCAAATCCCCAAGCTGAGCACAGTCTCCGGCAATCGCCAGCCCCAATAACAAACACCATGAATGAATGTGCAACACACTGAGAGAACAGGCTCGTGACCTTTGGAATCAGACAGGCCTATGTCTGAGTCTAGGCTCACCACTGCCTAGCCGCATGGCCATGCTATCCCCGGACAGTGCCAACGTGACAAGTGGCTGGACTCTCTTCAGCGCCGTCTTCCCTCTCTAGGAAGGGAAATGACACAGCCCTCACAGGGTAGCTGGGTGAAGTGGGCAGACCCCAGGCATATTAGAACAAGGTGAGTCGCAGTGTCTAGGGTTCCACTGCCCAACACAGTAGCCACCAGAGATGAGCATGCAAAATGTGGCCAGTCTGACTGAGGAAATGAATTTCAAATTCAATTAATTTCAAGAACTGATACTCAATTCAGTCACTGGAAAATGTTTAAGTATGTCTGGAAAAACCTGAATTAAAACAGTCTACTCTTACCTGAAAATTTTGTAAAGTCTAAATATAGACCAAGGGTATTGGATGAAAATTTAGCATTCCAATGGGAATGTCCTGCAGTTCTAAATACACACCAAATTTTGATGAAAAAAAATACAAAACACCAGATTTTTGCTGTTGTTGTTTACGTTAAAGAGATGTTGAAATAGTTTTAAACATATTGGATTAAAATATATTAAAATTAATTTCACCTGTCTCTTTTTACTTAATGTGAGCACCATAAAAGTGCAAATTCTACATGTAGCTCACATTCTGTTCTGCTTCATGGAGCTTTTCTGGATCTTAGCCAGTTGTCTTTGAGAGCTCAGAAGCCAGGGTCAGCCCTTCATCCTCAAGGTGGGCTTGACAATGCTCTGGAACATTTCATAGCCCAGATTTTAGTTCATCACAATTGGGAAATAGCAATTTTGAAAAGGATCCCATTAATTACAATAGTCAAATTCATTAGCATTCCACAGAGCTGTCCACATTTTATATTTCACTTTATCCAGATTCATCCCTCATACCTGGCCAATCCCACCTGCACGCACGCGTGCAGAGCAACATAGGGAGTGCCCAAGATGGGTGGGCCCTGGCCCACAACTACAGGGCCAAAAGGCACTTCTAGAAAGGGCAGGCGATTTGACAAGGATGTGGTGGGAGCAGTGTTTTAGAAGTTAATAAGAAGAGCACATAAAGGGGCTGTTACCTTTGATTTGTTGCGGAACCAGTCCACTTCGGTGTTCAGCAAAACTCTCTTGGGTCAAAACTGCAACGGAGCTCATGATTGATCTCACACCCACACACAATCCAGGTGAGCACTAAAGCAAGCAAGAATGAATCAAAGAGAGAAAAAAAAAATCACAGTACAGCCAACCCTCAATTATCTACGAGATTGTTAACCTATGGGTTTTAGCTAGGAGTTTTATTCCTTTTTTTTAAAAACTAGTAAACTACACCTTTTTATTTTCCTCACAACCTGCTGTAAAGCTGATACCCAAACTTTCACCAAGTGATGAGAAGGGAAAAAAATGCAAGTAAAGGAGGGTGCTAGGACAGCAGGTGACTGTCCTCTCAAAAGCTGCCTGGGACAGAGGAAATGGAGGCTCAGGGGTTACAGAGACAGTCTGCACCCACCTCTCCACCACAGGGCCAGAGATACAGTCTGCATCACAGGGGCCTTGGGACCACTAGCACCTGCCACCTGCCTGACCTAGCCCCCGGGACACAGATCAACACTAGGATCATTCTCCCAACAGCTATCTCAGTTGTTTTGTTAATTGGCTCAGAACATGCCTCCTGATGCTTATAAAATGTATCACATGACAGTTGCTGCAAAGAGCCAACAAGTCCCCTGCAAATTTGTCACCCAGGGCTGCAAACAAATCACCCGACAATCCTGGGAGGCGTGGTGGTGGTAATGGCATGGAGAAGCAGCCTCGCAGTGCTCTGTGGTAACAGTATACCAGTCCCATACATTATGCTAAATGCTGCTGACACGTGCTGGCTGGTGCGGGAAGGGACTCACAGCAGGAGAACTGGTCCAAAGGCACAGAGCTCCTCAGTTCAAGATAGCCACAGTACACAGTGGGACAGGGGCTCTGAAAGCCATAGCTCCTTTATTTAAGAAATGGGGTGCATTCAGCACTCTGAGAGGGGTCTTATCTTCCTCTCCCCCACTCCCCACCAGTGAGCCACACACTGCTATGATGAGGGAAAACCCATTTCCCCCCACACAATTATGCACTAAGTATCTTATTTGTACCACACCTTGGGCCAAGTAATTTAATAAGGAGGAAGTTTCTGAATAACTTTTTTTTATAAGACCTTTCCCCAAATTGAAGAAAATTAAGTTCTGAATACCTAAAGAGAAGATCCAAATTCAGATGATCCTAAACAAACATAATTCACATTTAAGAAAAAAAGATTAAAAACAGATGGAAGACAGATGACACATCTGAAGGGCACATGTCTACAGACTGCTCATGCTGGGAGACGAAGTCAGAGATGCCTCTGAAGAGCCACTAGAATCTTGAGGATGAGTGAAATATAATGAAAAGAAGGTACACACCGGCTAAGATGATACACATCCTTGTGCTCCCGGGTACACACACAGCCGAGGGACAGGAAGTTTTCAGACAGGACAGTCAAACTTACCAGCTAAACGGTCAGTAGCCAGGAAGTCCGTCCCGAGGCTGCCTGTCAGCTTGCCAGCTTTTGCTTGTGTGGAATAGGAAGGGAGAGAGAACAGGGAGAAAACCAGAGATAAGTTACTTATCTGCATTTTATAACCCAGATCTTTTTTCCTCCCAACCAGAAAAGGTGAAAATATTATTTTCACTCTGGCCACTAATACCAATACCTAGGGAAATTTCTTGGGGAAAAAAATGGAGGTTCTGCTCTTAAGCCATTCGTATCAAACAAAACATATTTCAGTAAAACCTGGACCATCTAGAACTCTTTCAGAGGACAACTTTTCCAAGGACCTGAGGGAGCAATCCCTGAAGTACCAAAAGTTCTCAATTTAGCCATTTTGAAGTAAAATCCCATAAAATTGATGGTGTTCTCCTGCATGATTAAATCATATTCCCCATACCCCTGGTGACCTCTAGACTGCTGAGCCAGAAGGGTGGGGATGTGGGCTATGACATACAATAGAATGTGGACCTTGGGGGCTCTTGAGCTTTTCAGGGTGACCAAGAGCTACTTCTTTAAAAGTTCTTTGTTTATTTTGCAGTTAGTTTATTCTTCTTGCTTGTTATCCAGTCCCTTCCAATCCACTGAGGATTTAGAAACCAGGTCATAAAATCGCAGGATTGGAAGGGATCTTCAAAGACCGTCTGGGGAGGACCGAGAACTACTCTGTAGAGTAAGAGGGTGTGGATCACCTTGCCTTAGGAGAATTATGGATATGTGAGGCCACCAGGTAGGTTACCAGCCACTATGTGTGACCACATGTGCGTCTAAACTACAAAAAGGCAGGCCTATGAAGGGGTAAGGCATATTTCTAAACTAGGAGGACGAACAATAGTAAGAGGAACATCCTACCTAGCTGCAGAATAACACCCTTACAACCTTGCCCATAAGACGTGTGGGTCAGGAGCTGGGAAGACAGCACATGGCAGTGGGGGTGGCATCAGCAGACTCTGGATTAAAAGGGCCTCATCCTCCCAGCAGAGCATATGGACTAGTGGCATTTCAGGATTACAACCTTGACCGAGATTTTTTAAAAACTCTAAATGCAGGGCTTTAGTCACAAGGGAAACTACTACAGGCCAGAAGCCAGGGCCACTCTGGGGCCCTGGTGGCACTGGACACACAGATAGATATGCCCCAAGACTGAATGGAGAAAAGGTGGGACAAACTAATGAAGAGTATTTTATTTAAGAGTGTCACCAACAAATTCTAATCTGCAAGTTGTAAAGATTAAAGTAAGAAAGAAAGAAAACCTCTCTGTTAAATCAAAGCTCACAAAACATTCATAAATAGGTGAGTGCTCCTTGAGATCCCAAGTTTCCAGCCAGTCCACACAGAGCCCGTCTGGGAGCAAGACGGGGCACTCTAGGCCAAGGCACCCCAACAGGTGTCCCATGGCACTTGCCTCTGGCTGTGTATCCACCCACTTCCCTTGCACAGTCCTCCCACTTGGGCTGCAAGTGCTCTTGCCTGTTGACCTTCTGCCTGGCACAACCTCCCACTTGAGGTCGTCCCAGGTGCCAATATCACTTCTTAAACCCAGACACCTGCCCCCTTACCAAGCTAGGTTCATCTATGTGACCTCAACTATACCCATGTCCTTCTCCTGTGCTCCCACTGACCAGACCCCCTGCTTTCCAGGACTGGGCAAGTTTTCAGAGCCCACAACCCGCCTGCAAAGTGCAGCGACTGTCCATGTCAGCTCGCACTGACACTGCAGAACAGGGCTGTGAGGAGACAATCCCCATTCTGCACTTGGTGTCTCTCCTGAGATCATGCTCACACACCTTTCCGAAGTTAATCCCAACCAGCCCTTATATATTGAACCCCTCAGTCCAAGTAGCTCAAGAGAAGAGACTCAACACAGCTGAGCTTACTACCACGTCAGAGCGAGAACCTGGAGCAGAGCCTCTAGTGCTCCCCACTTGTGCACAGGCCTCAGGCAACCAGGGAAGGGCAGAGAGTGGACCTCCAGAAAACTCCAGACTGGTCTAACAGGATAATCTGGGTCCCCAGCCTCCAGATTTCAAATGGCAGTTTGTCAGAGCTTGAAAAGAATGGATCACATCTTGGGTTCTGGTATTATCACACAAGATTTTGTTTTTCTCATAGACAACTCAAAACACTGTTTTTAAAGAGTCCATTTTAAATACATATGTGATGACCCATATGTAAATGCAGACCTCATCCCTACCTGAGACTCTGGAGTAAGACTCTATAAAAGGCCCAGTCTCATCCTTCCCTTGGTACCCTAATCCAATAGTGCCCAGACCAACTGTCTACCTGTTTCTGCTTTAACAAAACAGCCCCTAAGACATTGTCCCCCACAGCTACTTGTCCGCCCCAACCCCCTAACCACTGCTCGTAGCTCTGCCTTTACAGACAACACCCAAGAGGTTAAACACCACTCCCCCTGGACCTTCCAAAGACCTCTCAGTGGAGACTGGGGTTGAAGGTGCTCTCCAGCCCACCTCCTGCACTTGCTGTCCTGTGAGACCTTAGGAAGGCCCAGGTAACAAACAACAGAGACCAAATATTTGGTGAGTCAGACTTCTCACTGGATCTGAGTGCTTAAATGAAGATTGAAAAGGACTTTTGATATTATTCTAATCCATTTTTTAGTATAAGGGACAGGAAACGTATGGCCTTCCAGGGATCCCAGGTCCATCTACTACGTGGCTGTCAGCATTCTGCCTCAAGTTATGACAAAATCTACAACTTATTTCCCCTTCCGGCCACAGAGAACAAGTCCCTTCTCCTACAAGACTCCTTCAGGTAGGAGCAGCCCTTTCTCCTTCTTCCCTCAGTTTCATTGCTCCAACTACCTTCCCCACAAGAAACTTGGGTCAATCAGCATTCAGGTCCACCCAATGCAAACCTCAAGCTATAATCAATCTAGACTTTTAGTTTTGTTTCCTAAACTTTAAGCATCCACCACAAAAAAGTCACATCTCAGAATATAACTATGCACAACTAAAGTGAGAAGGGTAGAAGCCAAGACCCTCCTGTTCCACCCAAGAACTGTGGAGCGCCCCTGACTCCCTCAAGGTAGAAAGGGGAAGTCATGACAGCTGTGCATCAGGTTGGAAACCCGGTGCTAACAGGTGGACAACAGAAATGCTTTAAATGAAGGATTCTACTTTTCTGCTTCTAAACAAGCAAGTACTTAAGTTGATTACCTTGTGATAAGTTTTGCCAACTACCTATCTAAAGAGCAACAATCTGCAAAGAGAATATATCATAGTACTGCAGAAAGAATTTTATTTCAGACCCAGCTGATGAGATTCATTATACATTACACAGGACTTGAGCGTATTATCAAAAACCTACAGCTGAGATCTGGGACTTCTCTTCCAAAATTAAAACTGCTTACTCTCAGCCCCACAGAAATTTTTCAAGGGAAATTTTCTTTCAAATTACTCAAGACCACAAACCAAACCCCAGAATAAAACAGTAAAATCCCGATCTTCTGAAAGGTCACAAAACCTAAATCGGCGTGACCACTGCGGGTCCCAGGCGAGCGGGCTGGCATCTGCGCGTTCGACCAAGTTCTGGAAGTCAGCGCCCGTCCTGCATGGAGGAACTTTCGCAGATGCCACCTCAGCACGGCCCTCCCACAGGCCACGGGAGCCCGCGGGCGGGGACACGCTTAAAGGGGCAGCAGTGCGCGCGGCCTCCGAGCCTCGGTCCGAGCTGGGTATTTTTCCGTAATGGATTTTTCATCCGCGGACCCTGGGGCACAGCCAAGGAGTCCTCCAGCCGCGACGAGCGCGGTCGTCCCCGGCCGGCGCTGGGGACGCGGCAGGTGGAGGTGCGGCGGCC